ACTTGGGACTATGGTCTTCCGGGCAACGTTCTTTTGTGGAGCACTAGCGGGTGCTGGTGGGGTAGCACTAACCCTAAGTACGGTCGTCCGTACAAGGGCCTCTGGTGAAGCACTGCTGCGTGCTGAGGAAGCAGTGGAGACTGCTGCTAGTGGGCCTGTTGCTGGACCTGTTGCTGGGTCTTGATCGTCACTTATGTATGGTTCAGAGGGTTCGGACCTAAAGTCGGGAAAGGAGTCGGAATCAGTTAGGGTTGCTCCCCAGTTACTCGGGAAGATCCCTTCAGTGTCCGATGGAGCTAGGTTAGTATTTGGCGGAGTCCGGGTTTCAGTCCGGATTGGTGGAGGTACAGGGTTTTGTTTTCGGCTCTTGTTGATCGGGGTGAACCCGGAAAGCACTGGCGACTGCTTAGGGGGTGTTTCTGGTATCTCCTCCGGGATAGGCTTGACAGTTTTGCCGGACGATTTGCGACCTGAGGAAGTTCGGTGTTTCTTATGTTTTCGGGACGATTTGTGTTTCTTGGTTTTTCGGTGGGTCTTTTCGTTATCGTCTTCGTCTATGTCACGCAAGCGCTTCTTATTGGGAAGTTGATTTATGTTCTGTGAGCTACCGGGAGTGCTCTGAGCGGTGTTTGGAGTCTGATAATGTTAATGTATCACTGTGGTGAGTATGGTTCTAAAATTAATTGGATTAGGAGAGAGAAATACCATCTTATTTATAAAGATTGCAAAGGTTAAATCGCTTGAAAACGGAGGAACTTGAAGGATGAGATTTCAACAGGTAATGTTGAAAGCAATGGAAAACTTGAAGTGATAGGTAGAGGAGAGCTTGAAGGTGGTTAGGAACTTCTCACGAACTTGAAGGAAGGGAGGGGTGCTCTTAAACCGAGTACGATCAGCTTTTTTCTTGAGCTTATCACGCTTCCGAGAGCACCCACGAATGCTCTAGAAGCACTCGAGGGTGCTCGTACTCAATGTTTGCTTCAATATATGACGTTGATCTAAATGCTCCAGGCGCACTCGGGGATGCTCTGACGGTACCAATGGTGACGTCGATAACATTCTGGTGTTGGGGTTGGTGCTTGTGTTCTTGTTGGTGTTGGTACTCTGTCCTCTAGGAAGCTGATTCGGAGAGAATGTATTCTTTGAGCTCGTAGTCGATATTAGTGTTGAATTTGGCGCTGAGAACACTGTCTCGATCTGAAGAGACTCCGCGAGTGCTCAGGGAGAGAGTGCAGATGCTCAGGGCGATAGAATCTAGCATAACTGGCCGCCTGATTGGGGTGGTGGGTGTTTCTTCGTGTTGGTGTTGATGTTTGTATTAGGTTGGTGATGTATGACATCAGACTCGTATTGAAAATCAGCCTTGCCGACCGGGGTGCAGGTGAGAGGAGCCTCATTGGCTGACAAATCAAATCATTCGAGCACTCTGCAGCAGCACCTGCAGGAAAGAGCCTCCTCGGCCTTGGCAGAAACCAAATTTTTAGAGCACTCAGGAGTGCTTTGCTAGCATCATGAGACTTCAATGAAATCGTCTTGCCCCTTTTGCAGCAAGCGGTACAGCTCCTCCGCGAACTTCGATAAACATCTTCGAACTACACATCCATTTGAAGCAGATGAATGGCTGGGAAACCAATTTTTACTCCTGGAGCGCGATCAAGAGGCACCCGATGACACTCACGACAGCCCGGAAGGCATTCACGATTCCTATTCAGATGCCCATGACGACTCGGATAGTTCGGAGAGCAACAGTATCAATTATCATGACCAAGATCCCGATAATAATTCAGATCTGGAATCCGAATCATATTTTATGATGGAAGAGACAGATGGAGATGCAAATAGGCATGAGGCAGCGACAACGATTTACGAGGGTGCTGGGGAGCGTCTCTACCGCTCGGAGGACTACGACGAATGCTCACAAAACCTTCTCCGATACCCGTGGCACCCATTCAACTCAGCATACGAGTTTAGAATGGCACGTTATTTCATACTGTCGAAGGCCTCACAAGGAAATATCGACAGTTTCTTTCTACACGCTCCGTCAAGCAGTGGCGAATGCTCCTACAGGACTGGGCGAGGTTTTATAAAGAGGTTGGACGAAATGAATGACATATTGGGAAAGGCGAGCTGGCATCATTCGGAGGTGGATATTGGGGGAGAGAAAATCCCTTACTATTACCGGGATCCAATGGTAATTGTGCGATATCTTCTAGGCCAACGGGCCTTTCGGGAGTCATTGGTGTACGCGCCAGTGGTAGAGCATAATGAATCTGGCGAGAGAATGTACGGGGAAATGCATACGGGAGATTGGTGGTGGGAGACGCAGGTCTGGTAAGCCTCACAAGTGCTCTAGAGGCAGTCGCTAATGCTTTCTGGACAGAATACCTTACCGGAGGGGTCGACTGTGGTACCAATTATATGCGCGTCAGATGGCACACATTTGACAAATTTTAGTGGGGACAAGAAAGCCTGGCCAATCTATCTTACCATCGGGAACATCAAGTCATCGGTCCGGAGCAAGCCCACCGGGCATTCGTTAATTCTCCTAGGGCTACTGCCAGTCCCACCTAAGCTCGGGAAGAACTCACTCGCTAATTCCGCTTTACGACGTCAGAGTCAAATGGCGCTGCATCGCGCCCTTGGGGAGATCTTTCAGAGCATTCGGGAGTGCTCTCAGGAAGGCGAGCTAATCGCATGCGCCGATGGGTACGAACGTCTATGCTTTCCGGTGTTGTCGGGTTGGATCGCTGATCAACCTGAGCATTCAAACTTACAAAATATTAGTACTAGCTCTTGTCCAAGATGCGAGGTGGAATTCCACAGTCTTGGGAGCACTCGCCGGAGCCCTACGCGCGATCACGAGGATTACCGGGAGAGGGTAAAGCTATTCAGGGAGAACCCGGGAAACCTGGGACCGGTGGAATACCTTGTCGCGAGTTCAGTAAAGACACTCTTCAATGCTTTCTGGGGTATGCCGAGGGTTAATCCATACGATCTCAACAAACCGGACATTCTGCACAATATCACCTAGGGATGTTGAAGCACATGATGGAGTGGGTTCAGGCTTTCTTGAAGAAGCACAATCGATTGGAGGAATTTGACAAGGCTTGGGCCTCGATTGCGCCTTACCCTGGACTGGTAGTACCGAACAAGGCATATCGTGCCACAACCCAATGGCAAGGGAAGGAGATGAGAAATCTGGGGCGGGTCGTTCTTGGAGCACTCGCGGCTGCTTTGAGAAACCCGGGGGTGGCTGTCAGGGGCGACTTCGCAAAGGCATTGAAATGTGTACGAGGCTTAATCGACTTCCACTTAATGGCGCAGTATGGGAGTCATACGACGAGCACACTGAATTATATGGAGAGCTATCTCGAGGATTTCCATAAGCACAGGATATCTTTTTAGAATTCCGGGCGTACAAGAGGACGGTTAAGGATGCGAGAGATCGGACAAAAGCTGTGAAGACCTCAGGCTCCCAGAGCGCTCAGCGAGGTTTGGAGGAGATTCGCGAGATACGGGAAAGGTCTCACTTCAACTTCATCAAATTGCACGTGTTAACGCACTATCGGGAACATGTCGAGCGCTTTGGGAGCATTCCCCAGTACTCCACCGACATCAGCGAACTCGCCCATGTACGTCAGATAAAAGAGGCATACGGAGCATCCAACAAGGTCGATGCTGCAACGCAGATACTGGACTATGGGGGGCGGCGGTTGGCGTTAGAGATTCGAATGCTGAATCTGAAAGACATTGTTGGAGGTCCTGAGAGCACTGACGACATCCTTTGGAGCCATCGAGATAACCTGAAGGAGTTACTTGAGATTTTTAAAATCGAAGACCGGAAAAAAACACCAAATGAACGATCCATAGTAGAAGGCCGACTGCCTCTAAAGCGTCTTTGCAACCCCTCCACGAAATCGGAAAGACTTTTCAATATTGCGGATGGACTGCAAATAAGCCATACCACGTTATATCGCCTGATAAAGGAGTATGCAGAGGATGCGGGATGCTCTCAAAGCTTTGCCGGAAGCTCTGAGAGCATTTTAGAGCGCTGGGTGGAGATGTTCACATGTTTGCAGGTTCCGATACCAATCTTCCAAAGACCTGAGGTGTACGAGGTTCACAATATCAGGTGTACGGGAAACGCGGCTTTTAGGAAAGGGAAAATAAGAAAGGATTGGGTATGGGTGTCGGTAGCGTCCTCAGAGGAGTGGGGAGTGTTTCGGGGACGCTTACCAGGACGTGTCGAGGCTTTGTTCAAGCTGCGGGACAGTGGGGGGCGAGCACATAGACTATGTATAGTGGAGCTACTCGAGGCAAAGGATCGTGGTATCGCTGATAGCTCACATGGGCTCCTGAAGGTTTGTAGCAGGAGGAGGAAGAGGATGTGGGTCGTTAATATTCGGAGTATATTGGGAATGGCCCATTTGTTTGAGGTGGAGACTGGTAATTGGTTGGTAAATACTAGGATAGACTTGCGTACGTGGAATGAATTTAGTTGAATACTTGTAAAGCCGTGAGGGCATTCTTGAGTGCTCTAGGAACGTTAGACCCAATTGGACTCTCTAATTCAAAATTCGTGTCGTTCTGCTATGCATGCGGATTGGAAGAAGGAGGTAAAGTTTCGGCCGCTCAGTATCTGAGTCTGGCTATCCAGCAAGCTCGCTCCAGGAGGTCAATGCCAGTCCATGTTTGCTGCTTATGCATGGACATTGAGCTTTTCAGACGAGCCGTACCATGGCCTCAACCTCAAGGCTAATTATGCCTTTCACGAATCGACAGAAACATACACGTCCGTCAAAGGTTGGGTAGTCGTCACCAGTATACAGGACAGTGCTCGTATCAGTATCCCGCGACTGACCGTACAGCGGCGTTGAGGATACCCACGTTAGATATCTTTTGAGGGACTGGTGCGGCCTTCCTATCCTTTGAGGACGGTGTATCAATCCAAAGGAGCCCAAATGAGGGTTGCCTCACCTTGAGTGGGTATGACGAATGCCTCAGCTCTGTGAGCATTGGTGAGTGCTCTGGGAGCACTCGCGGAAGCCCTCGTGGGAGCGTTCGCGGGAGCGTTCGCGGGAGCGTTCGCGGGAGCGTTCGCGGGAGCGTTCGCGGGAGCGTTCGCGGGAGCTTTCGCGGGAGCGTTCGCGGGAGCATTCGCGGTGCCGTGAGAGCATTCGCGGTGCCGTGAGAGCATTCGCCGTGCCGTGAGAGCATTCGTCGTGCCGTGAGAGCATTCAAGAAAACTGTGAGAGCATTGGGAAGTGCTCGCGTGTACTACTGACGTAATCAAAAGAAGCAAAAGTTCTTAGGTGCTGTGGGCGGAGTCACTCCATCCTAGCGTCTCCGGAGGGGGAGCGAATCTCATGGCGGCCCAGGCGACCAGAGCATTGGCGAGTGCCCTCCGGACGTGAGCCATATCTCCTGGCGGTCCCAGAGAGTGGGACGGTCCTGCGGCGGAGCCTGGCGCGAAGGTTGTACTCTGGCGGTGCCGGACGCGCTGGGCGCTCGTGGCGCAGAATGCCCACTAGGACGTAGGGGCTGCGCCCTGGGTAATAGGCGAGCTTGCTGATGTAGTCGTTGATTTGGTGTCCAATTTGGGCGTCAATTTGGACGTCAATTGGGCGTCGATTTGGACATCGATTTGGGCATCGATTTGGGCGTCAATTGGGCGTCGATTTGGGCATCAATTTGGGCATCGATTTGGGCGTCAATTGGGTGTCGATTGGGTTTCAATTTGGGCGTCTATTTGTAGAAGTCTGTAGCAGTGTCAATACGGGCGTCAAACTACAAAGGTAGGTATATACGTATCCAGACGACAAGGTAGGTAAAAGGTAAGCGCCAAGGCAGGTAGAAGGTAGCTATCAAGGTAAAAGGTGAAGTAGAAGGTGAGGTAAGCATGGAGGTAGGATGTGAGATAGGAGCTGGGATGTGTGTATGAAGGTGTGGATCCTCAAAATGTGATCCGTCAAATTTGACGTCATTTGCCACTGCCTTACCTAATCGGGAGTAAGTACAAGACATATCCCATTTCAGACCAAATAGATCAGCAAAAAATGACTGGTAATTTCTGATACGATGAAAACACGGGTAGACGAAGCGATACGGAGCGCAGCGAGGCCGAATTAGTGAAATTAGCAACCAGTAACAGCTAATTACATATCAGCGCCTGATTTTTCGCTGATATATTTGTGCTCAAATGATTGAAATCAGTTTTCTTTTACCATTAATAATTTATAATAAAAATGAATAATGTGAATAATTTACGTCATTACAAAAACTCCATGAAACTTATTTCCAAACGGTTGACAAAACATATAGGATTCAGCGAAACTCATTTTAAAAACTCACTATTTGAAAATTTTTGAAGATTTCGATTATAGATTTCCGAATTGTTTTTCCAAGATCTATTTTTCCGACGTTAAAAACAATTAAGTAAGATTCTTAATATAAAAAAATCAGTGCAATCTGATAATTTTAAATTCAAATCCTATTGAATCGTACATGAATATAAATACAAAATATATATAAAAATAATATTATAAATAAAGATCTAAATTAAATATATTTTTAAATAACATTTTTAAATAAGATATTTAAAAAATATATAATAAAAAATAAAAAATAAAAAAAATAGAAAAAACTGTGTAGAATTGCTTTAGGAAATTCCTTCCAAATCAGGTTTAGTGTTGTTACACTTCCACATTTTTTTTCCGGTGCATACATTTATCAGTGTTAATAAATAAATATATAAATAAATAAATAAATAAATACATACTATGGAACTTCTAATGAGTCATAGAATATCACTTGATCCATTGAACCTATATGTACCCCTAAATCTTTTCGAATATAAACCCACTTCTCTCCCGACCTATTTTAACTCATGAGTCATGGCTCTTTATATAATAAGACCTTTACCCAGCCCACTCACCCTATTGCTTGAATACCTACAATGGCTACATATGACTTGGGTGATTTACTACCACCAGGAGGATTCTGCGCATAGGTTGATTGATGAGCGAAACCTCCTTATCAGGGGCGTCTACTTTAGTTTTGCCCCATCTGGATTATCTGACGGGATAAACTTGGTGGAAATGATTCTTTGATCCATTTCATCCCTTCGTCTCAGGAGCGCGGGGCCCAGTTCTTGCCTCTCCCCTATCGCAGAAAATACATTGTTTATATCTGGCGCCTTGGATGAACAACCGTCAATGTTACCAAGATACCCCTAGAGCTAGAGAGCTTTAAAGTTATTGTTAGGCTACAGGCCAAACAAGCACTCTAAGCAGTATAATGAATGACCATGTTCATATGAACCGCACTGTACCGGCGGTAGCGCAAATGCCCTTTATGAGAACATGAGACTATGTTATTATCGCTAAGTTTTGTGTCTGCTCGGGGTTGCGAACTTGGGTGATCTTTTCTTCAATTAGATAAAAACCTTTAGTATTACCTATTAGCCTATGATGCTACATACACTGCAGGTTGTAGAATTCGAACTCTATGCTGTTGGTGCCTGCTAAAATTCCACCAGGCGTGTTGGGAACGATGAGGTAACAACAGTCCAGGTCCCAGCAGTTCAGGTCTCGTTGACGCCATTAGTACCTCCGTGTGCGTCCCATCTCTTTCGACCCGGTCGTAGGGATACATATGTAGATATCTGTTATATCTGTTGGGGGCGGGTAGGTACCGTCATATGAGGTAATGAAGATGTGCATGTGGTACCTACATACTCTAGACCGTCACTACCTCAAACTAAGCTTATGAGACTTTATGTTAATTGTTATTGAATACATGTAGGTATTGTCAGCGTCGTGGACCGAGTAACTGGCCAAGCACCATTTCAATAAGTTAGCGCGATACATTGACTCTACTCTACATACTTACTCTTGGTGTATGTTCAACCGACAAGCTGCTGCGTGATCAAAATTTATTTCGGAGGTTGACAACTTGCGAGGATGGGTCGTTCGTACATACCCGGCATATTTTGCGGGGAAATGCACGCACTCCTGTTCTGCAGGCAAGAAAAGAAAGGAGCCACAAATAACCCGGCTCCGAGATTATCGCTAGGAATCTGCAAATTTCCGGTGATTTTACTGGTGTGCTCCGGGCTCCCACATTCGAGGATGCAGAGCGAGTGTCAAAGGGTTTTGCCGTTTGATGACCCCTGAGTGGCTTGAGGCACTTTTATGTGTTAAATCATGTCTTAGGGAGTTCTCGAACCACCAAACGAGCAACCTTTCAAACTCTCCCTTCTTCCTTCCCTTCCAACACATATCCATAATCGGTATTGTTTATTTTTTTTTCTTCTTTTCACTCGTTTCTCTGATTTGACTCCATAGTTTCTTCCATTCATTCTTTCTTTTCCAAGGGTATTCCATCATAATACCTATCCTCAGTCCACCCTTTCCCTGACTTCACTCTACCCTGGTTCCCCACCTCTTTTTACCATTTCCTATCAGCGCCTCAACACCCTCACCTTTGATTCTGTAGTCTTATACATTCAACTTATGTGCATTTTGCACAATCTATTTACTCCCTCGCCTATTCTGTGCTGTAGTTTGTAGATATCCAGAAGGAATGTCGTCCGTAGGCCAAACGCCTGTTTCGTCACCTCGCACAACACCTACGAAGTCCTTAACCTCACCCACAATGGCCTCCACTCCAAATATCACTAATACCCCTCCAACGACTCCTCCATTTCAAGGGTTCTCGGCTCCCCCGTTAAGAAGAATCGCGTCTACCTCCTCCACCACATCTTCTTCTTCATCGGCTAGATCTTCGCTAGGCGGTCGCAGCGACACCACGACCAGGAAGAGGGGTTTTATGCGGCCACAAGGGACAGAGTTCTCGACATCCGCCAGGTCACGGGAAAGCGTCATGGCTCTTGGGAGTATAACTCACTTGCAATACTTTTTTGCTAAAACAGGCCTTTTGGATGGGAAGGGAGCGTGAGTTAACAGAAACTCCCATTAATTTTTGGTTTTCATACTGAAAGCGCTTTACGTATATAGTGGTCTTCAGACAAAGCAAAGCTCCCGGAAATCGTCAAACCAACTGACATTAGACACAAGCTCGGCATCGCTTCTCCAGGACTCAACGTACTCCTCACTTCGGTCATCTCCCGATATTCTTGGACCCTGTGAGCAGGAATTTTTCTCAGAGTCGCCTACAGAATCAGAAATGCTTGATGATTTCGATTATGATGAATCCTCAATGCTCCCACCCACAACCTCGACATATAACCCTCAGACAAAGTCAATACCACCAACGCCGGATCCATCTGTTCTACGGGAACGGTTGAGGAGTGCTTTATCTGCTACCAGGGTGGCCTGGGTTCAAAGTCCTGTAGTGCCTCAGAAGACTGGAGGTCAGGAAAGCGGCGATAACAGCAGCGAGATTGAGCTGCCTCCTGGGTTTAACGAGCTTCAAGGAACCCAACTCGTAGAACTAGCAACCTCTGCGATCAGAGCGGCTAAGGCTTATTATATCACAACAGATTCTTCCCTTCTTCTTTCAACGAAGGATGATAAAACCCTACGGGAAAAGTTCCTGGCTATTCTGGATATATTGAAAAGCATGGCTCAGCGGAAATTTGAAGGCGGGGTGAAGGCGGAAGAGAAGGACTCTGTAGTTAGCTGGATTGGGAGCGTGGAGGAATCCTTGTCTGCGGAAGAGAAGGCCATCTTTGATATGCGCAAAAAGGGAAGAGAATGGCTAGAGGGCGAATGGGAAGGACGAGAAATGGGTTCGTATAGCTTTAGTCCAATATTGAGTGCTAAACAATTATTGGGGCCCCGTTATTAACAAAGATTCGGCAGATCGGAACCGCCTTTTTTTGTCTTACTTTGACTCTTCCACGGAACACCTACCTCCCGCCACACCAAGCACAGAGACGCCAACTCTTCCAACTCCGTTTCTCTTGGCTCTACAATCAGGCTTACGGCTGATATTGATACACAATGCCGTAGTTCGCCGCTCGAAACGACCTTTTGGGCAGATAGGAACTTATCATACCGAGTTCACAAAGCCTTATAGATTAGCAGAAAACCTGAAATTTTGGAAGAAAGCGGCTGAAATTAGATGGGAGATTAGGATGCAGTTTGATGTGATGGCGGTGGTTAATGGTACCGAAGACGGATGGAGGGCCTTTGACAAGGATATTAGGCTTTGGTGCGAGAAGGTTCTTGAAGAGATCAGGAGGGATTGGGAAATGGGCGCAGGAGCGGCGGTTGTCGGACATGAAATAGTTGTACGACAAGGGAGGAGTGGGACAATGGAAAGCTTAAATGTTGAAGTTGGCGCTGGATACCACAATTGATTTCAAGCCATTCAGTCAGTCTCTTAGTCGATCAGTCACTCAATCAGAGTATTTGCTCGGGATTTAAGAATCTTTTCTTGAATGAGGTACGAATACATCTTCCTATTTTCATTTGTTCGCATGAAGTTTGTTGGTGTTTGGGGAATTATCTATTCGAATATCGGTTTCGCTTATCGGTCGTTTTCTTTCTCCTTCTCTTCCTTCATTTCTATTACTACGTTTAATTCTCCTCCAGTCAGGTTCTTTTGCGCCCAATTTCCTTTATAATCCCAACGGAACTTTTCTCTCTCTTTCCTGTAAGATCTCCTCTAAGGAATGTCGGGTAGCAGGCAACCCACACACACACACGAACAAAGCGAATGATTTCCTATGTCACTGTTCAAGTTTTAGTGCTTTCTTGTCGGAGAATAAATTCTCACCTACTTGGACAATAGACTTGTCTATCCTGAAATATAATTCCTTTGTTCCTCTTGAATTTCTGTCGACAGCCACAGATAGTTCAATGTTATCTCATCTTTTGCTCGTTTTAAAACCTGGGAACCGTGTTAGTGGAAATTTTCCCCAAAGTAATTTATCTGTAGCCTGAATGAATACCGCAGGAGGATATTTCTGGACTAACGCAACGCACATGTTGTATCTGTTCCCGTGATGGATACTCTTTTTGCCACAACTACAGTGGCGACTAATGGAGGTACAAATTGAAACTTGCCTCGTTACTAGACTCTATCCCTCTATTCGTCTGGTAGGCCGCTCTTCAGACCCTACTAGACTGTTGATGTTAGCTCAAAATTGATAAACACTGCTCTAACTTTGACATAAATAGATAGTAGGTGTAAGGTAACGCCCACAGCGTTAACTGTACATGCAGGTTGTTTCCCCCGCGTGCCACGGCTTTCTACCACTAATTGTTACAGAAAGGTACAGGGGCTGAATACAAGCAAAAAAGAGTTAACTACTACTGCTCATACTTCTAGCTGCTAAGGTTTTGTAACGAACTATGTTATTACTCCCGTAATTTCTATTTATAAAAAAATACGGCCATATTTGTCCGTGTTTTGGCTGCGAAAAGGCTCATCACCTTTCCTGAGTTTGTACAGAAGGCGCTGTGCCTATTTGCTGCGGTTTACGCACAATATCAGGGCCAATGATCGCTGAGAACCTGGATGTGGAGGCTTGGTTGTTACATGAGGCTGATTAAGGTCTTGGCGCGACGCTAGTACTGTTTTTAGATGAGCATCTTACAATTATGAAAGCACATAGAAATAGAATTATAGTCATTTGGCTTCAGGACTCATTCTCCACAGGTCCTAGTCAGCAGGCAGTGTCCAAGAGCCTCGATTGGGATCGGTTATTTGAAACCTATTTCTCTCGGCGGTAACCTTTCGGCCGTTCCCCTGGGACTGCAATTTCCGCTCCTGGCTTTACAGGATGTACCAATACATACATGTACTAAGTACATAGAGTACATACTCATGGGTCAATTTTATAATGACCCAACTTCGTGTATGTAGTCTGCTTCACATTTATTAAGCATAGGAACACACGTTAGTATAATGACGCCGAGTTTGTGGGGAAAAGTGTGCGAGTAAAAGCGCGGAATTCTTTTTGATACCCACCAACGTTCTAATAGCTCCTATACCCCCAATAAGCTCATTTGTATAGAAGAGCGTAAGAAATCCGAGAAAACCACCATAGGGCAATAATTTATGTGTTATGTCCTTAGAGTTCCAGGATCAGATTATCCTGCAACGGCAACCTGAGATATTCAGCGATAGCACGCACATAAGATCACTTGTCTAAATTGAATCCCGGCCAGTGGTCTCTCTGGAATATTTACCCCATTCGTATTAAAAGCAAGATAATTCATTGTAAGGTTAATCTCTGAGTCTAGGCAGCCCTAACCCTATATTCATTTCTATCCTCTATAGCGGGATTTGAGCGATTCGAGGATATATATACCAGTGCCACTAAACACAGACAGTAGTAGAGACGAGCCAAAGATAGTACTGTTAACTTCCAAGTACTTGCACAGGGCTGGTTATTACCAAAACTATGATTAAATAAACAATTTGTAATGGTTGAAGAAGTACAGAATATGGAGTCTCATGATGACTGTACAGATACATGTGCCAAAAGATTTTCTGGTATCCTAATTCTAAGTAGACCAAGACTGATCGCAAGGCCATCGATGCTAATTCAATGCCTTGTCGACCAATTCTGCTTAATGTACCCCCCCCCCCCACCCCCGGGCTTCCCCTATCAACACAATAAAAATAAAAATGATAAAGACCCAACTGGTAATGAACGACAGGCTATATAGATACAACACTTATTCCACCCCAAAAATACATAATACAAGTCGGTAAACCAAACGAGGAAATATTTAGTAAAATAAGCCGACCACTATGCCAATGCAAAAAGAAATGAATGAAAATAGAACCCACGGAAACCCCACTGTAAGAAACGAAAGAAAACCCCCCCCTCTTTTTTACTTTTGTACCCAGGTTATAAAATGAAACTCTCATCTATATTCTAAATCGTTAAATCCCTAAACTTAGAGTATCCACCCAACAATCAGCCCCGCCGCAGCGAGGGCCAGCCCGGCTGTTTTAACAGCCATAGTCGAAGAAGCAGCACCGGTATAGGTTTCACTAGATCCGCTGCTGCTGCCGCCAGTTGCGATATAAGCGGCACCGTTAGCTCCAGCTGAGGAGGACGAGGACGACGAGGGCGAGGCCGAGTTGTGGGTGGACTCCGAGGAGTCAGCGTTGTTTCCTGATGCGCCGGAAGTTGCCTCACTTTTCGATGTAGAGGATGGCAGACGACCGCTGTTTGAAGGCGCGTTGTAAGCGGATGGGGATCCAGTAGCGGTTGCTGCATTTCCGGCTCCAGATTGAGGTCCAGCGCCGATTTCACCGCCGACGGCTTCAATCGAATCGGCAGATCCACTTTGGTCAGTGTATCTGTACTCTTTGCCAGAAGAGTAATCCTGGACGTAAATCTTCTTGACAATCATGTCATAAGGACCTTCTTTGTAGTTGGTAGGACCGCCAGACCACGCTATATAGATGTTAGTTATATGTGACACAGGCGGAGAAGAAAAAGCAATGTTGTACATACCGATAACACCAGGCTCATTATCAGAATCACCACCAGACCAGATTCCAATTCTAGCTGTCATGGGTGTCTGAGGATAGTAATCGCCCTTCACCATAGCAGGTGTCAAAGTACGAACCACGACATCATCAATCAGCCACTCCAACTTTTCGGCTGTCCAGTTCAATCCGTACTTGTGGAACGTAGCCTGGCTGTCGACTGTGTGGAACGCCCCACGATCGTAGGTTGCAGTATTTCCTTTGCCGAAGTAGTTTGATTGAGCCTCATCAGGTTTTCCCCCAAGCCATTCCTAGATAGAAACTCAATTAGATTTGTCTTCAGATTTAGACCTTTTGGCCGTTGGTGTAACATACCCAGTCTATCTCGTCCAAATCATCTGATTGTAGGACTATCGAGGAGACAATACCGGCACCGGGAGCAGCTTTCATAGTAACCTCAAACTTCCCCCACATAATATAGAAGTTGCTGACAATTGTGGGAGAGTCCTTGCTCTTCTCTACTCTAAAATGGGCACCGTCGGAGCTGCCATATTTAATCATGTCTTTTCCAGCGAGGTACTTAAAGCTTGATGCTTCACCCCCGTAGATGTGGGCGTAGGTACCGGAAAGTGCAGGGTTTGCAGGGCAGTCGCCTAGTAGAAATTAGTAAGATGATCATAAAAATAAGTTGTGGGAAATAAACCTACGCCTTAACATCGGGTTGCACTCAGAGTACGTCTGCGCAGAGACTACAGACGACAGAAGAGCTGGGGAAACAGCCAGGATCGAAGCAATTGAGAAGCGCATTTTGACTTAATGTTATAGCAAATATAAACAGAGAATTATGGTTGTTGAAGGGAGGCTTTTATTAATGATAGTGATGGTGATTACACTTAGAGCAGTGTTGGTACTTTGGTATTTTGACTGAAAACGGTATATGCTACAGCAATCCGGTAGGCCGGGATGATGTGTAGGTTGTACAAATGATAGTAGTGGCCGAAGGCAGTAAACCAGCCTGCGGTAAACGACGGTTGAAAGGTAAATCGAGAAGTTTAAAAATGAGTGTGGTAGATACTGTGGGACAGTTTCTGTCAAGTTGAAAAACACGAAGATGGTGAGCGATGCTGCAAAGAACGTTTGGAATGTGAGAACAGGAGCAAGGGATTGCGGCTGTGGTAGCTACTTATAGTTACTTATTGGACCTGGCAAGATGTCCAAGGCGCAACCCGGTTTCCGCCCAGATCTGCGGAGGAATCCACGGACAATCTTTGACCTGCGACTGCTATCGTCTGATCTTGCACCAAGTGAACTCAAAACCGCGTTCAGGAACTCGAACGTTTACTTGCCTGTTCTGGAACCTTTCTAACCTGCAACCACTCCAGCGTAAGTAAGCATGGCCAAACACTCAGAGCACTGGTAATTGGCAAGAGGGTCGAAAAAAGGGGTAACCTTGGGCGGTACCTGCTGCACACACCCTTTAGTAATTGTTTTTTTGATGCGGCAGGCAGATTTTAGCAATGGCTTTTGCTGATGATTGTCGTAAGTCGTAAGTCGTAGGTCGTGAATCGTAGAAATCGTTATTTAAGTCCTTACACGTAAATTATTCAAACAAAACGCTTGAGATGTGGAGAGGGGTATGTAGTTGGTAACTGGGTTGTTGAGGGCTAGATGAAGAGAATGCACAAATACTATTGATGCCTGTTGTAGGTATCCGACTAGTACTGTTGGAAAGACTAGGTTCATCAGAAGGAACGATAGTTAATCCTCACAGGGAATTCTCCGGAGAGGAGGTATCTTTGGCATAAAACAGATACTGGCGATAATAGCTTGCTGTATCCGTGCGTTGGCAATTCTTGGTGGATGTCCTGTCCCTGCGTTAAGGATCGTGGCCAAATATGTTGTGGTTGGTACACCAAGATGGCGGATGGAACCAGTTGCACTCTACAGGGGCAAGGTCATAACATGCTGCCAGTTTCAGCTAGACAGTGACTATAGCTGTTGATGGACAGCCACATCCGACCAAGCAACCTACCAATCTCAGCACGTTCTCGTTAACTTACTGAGTCGGGAATCCCAATAGGGATGTCGCTTGGCACTCGTACTCCAAATCTAAAGTAGAAAAAGTAAATGATTCTCTGTCCGCACCTTAACCCTATTTACATCACGGTATGTACCCTTCAACTTAGCGCATTTGATTCAAGTCAAATTGCTTCCCAGTCTTGATGAACTATAAATATCTCACCTCTTGATCACGGACAATTCAGATGAACTGTACCAAGTGCATCATGTGTAAAAGACGTGCGGGAGTTGACCGTTTTCGAGTCTTTATCTCCTTTTTTTTTCTTTTTTCTTTTTTCTTTTACACCTAGACTTTACAATGCCTATGTAGTATCTAGTATACATACATGTATGTCCGACGTCCGAAATATTGTGAGCACGGGGCTGAACTTAGAACCGCAAAACTTTGATCCTCCCCCTGCGCCACCTAGCCGTGCGCCGCCCGTGATGTCCCGTCCCAATATCATCAAGAAGATGCTACCGAGGTACCGTGTGTGTGTTTCGAAAATAGTGAGCCATGCAGGCATATCCAGCTCCAGCTGCTTTCGAGAAAACGCTGGTTCGGGGCGGAGGTTTTCCAACAAATGAAAACGAGACCCCACGCTAAAGATCATGCAGAGAGCACAATCTTCTCATCACTGTTTGTCGTTGAGATCTCTCGTTGCTGCAGGAGTGCTGGCTGCTGGCTGCACTGCAAGATCTACCCACTTCAACATGCAGATCTACCGCACCAGCGATTCGGGAGCACAGCCGGGCGCCAATACAGCGAGGTTTGTCGGACACCCCGCGAATTAGATTCTCGGGTTCGAAACATGGGAGAGGAGAGTGGCGTGGTGGAGGATGGAGGATGGAGCGTGGATGGAGCGCTTGCAATATCTCGATATCTTCAGGGGGGACGTTCGTTTTGTGAGTGAGTCTTGGTGACATATTAGCCACTAACTTAAGTACAAGAAGAAGTTTCCAACACGGAGAGAAGTGTGAAGGATGATTGGTTGGCTGTTATCTACGAATGTTTGAAACCCTTTTAACGTGCATGCACAACGTGTTTCTAGGATTCCTCAGTTCCGGGGTTTCCATGACGAACAACTCTCAATTAAAGTTGATTTGAAACGGCGACTGAGAAGCTGCAAGGTTAAGAGACGATGCAGACATATTTTTCTCCGCTTTACAACGTATCTACATAGTTTGTTGCTTGTTAAGGTTATCTTTTATCCTCGTCTCCAACCAGAGCTGATTAGGCGTGGCCGTGCATTGCGCGTCCCTGATGGCCCATGAACAATTCGTAATTCAACCAACCAGGCAGCGGCCAATTCGACCTCTCTGTTTTTAAGCGTTATGCGTCCAGCCAAACCTTATATCGGATGACGGCATTAGATGAAAAATAGGCTTGCATTTCACATACATGTAGGTATCACTCTTATCGTCTCGGGGCCATGGAGGAAGCCGGCCTATCAAACAGATCTACATACGATATAAGGAAGCCTTCATCCTGTGACTGCATGTATGCTCCTTGCGTGCAAATATTACATGATGTGGTTTTCTTACAGTAGGGCTCATTACTATGTACATACTTACATGTAGTCATCTAAAATCTCACTTACTCCTATTACATGTACTACACGTAGATTGATTGATACATGTAATTCATCAATTGTATAATCCGAATTTACTCTGTATGCTGCTAGAGATATATACGTTGTATATATACTGGAAAAAAATCCGTACCAATGAACTTCACAAATAGCATACTGATAAATGCATGTACTTACCGCTGCAAGTTGAACAATTTTCTCAGAATTACAGTCACATATAATATTAGAACCCGCACATGTAGTTGATAGTACAATGGCCTTAGAAACTTGGAACCTTTACAAAATAAAATAAAATAAAAAGATGCCAATAGTCGGGGTTACATAGTATGTTTCAACGGTTTGCACAAAAGGAGCTTCTGTTCCTGACGATATATATGATGTCCCACTACTTTTATAATTTAAGATCCCCAGGATCACTTATATCACTTAAGCCATATTATAAAGCCGAAATAAAATTGTGCAAACCACATGTAACTGCAATAAAGTCGGTGTATTGATGAGCTGTTATTCACTTCTCATTGACCAACTAAATGTACATGTGATATCTCTTAAGCCGTCGGATCAGATATGAATGATGCAAATTAACCAAATGCCGAAGATGTGACACCAAAATCTAGAACTGAAGAATTGAGCAGCTGGTCAAGGCCTGTCCTCAGTTTTATCAGAAATTACCGTGGCACCTCCTACTATAGGCTTTTTGGCGTTCCTATATATTTATGTAGTTTACAAAATTTATATCCGTCCTGGCGGCCCGAGGAATAGCTCTTCCACGTGTGGTAAGTAATTGAATGAGGAAGTAGACAATGACGATCTTGAGTCGAGTGTAGCTCCCATAAGCAACTTGATCACTGGTTATGGTGGAGGGTCAGATTCGCGCTGCTTCATGATTTATCACTCGCTGGACCCTCTGTAACCGTGAGCTGAATTGATGGAGTGATTAATGATTCACTCATGTATGCAACCGTGAGCTGGATATCAATATGCGTTGGCATAGAAAGAAACACTTGTAAACCTAGAATCATGTAATCAACGATGGGAACCTTTGGAGTCACGATATATACATGTACCCATGTATCAACACAAGAAGTGGATATTCATACACATCGCCTTCTACATTCTGGCATGAACGCCTGGCACGGTCACGTGGGTGTGCTCAGTACATGTGCAAAGCACTAGGTATTAATAGGACGAGATACATTATAATTCAGGGGCGTAAATTTTCAGGATATAGAGGAAATGTGATTCCGGTTACTGCACAATATACCCTCAGCAAATCGTGGGTAGATATAAGATCGGAAATCGATAGAATAGAGTAAGCAAAGCTAGCCAAGATTAAACTAGATGATGGTTGTGCTGGAGATGGCGCAAAGGGAGAGAGCCAAAAGGACACACGTGGTTCAGAATCAATATAGTTAGCGAGTATGAGCGAAGGGACGACAAAATAACAAAACTGAATGCCATCACCCCAAAGAACACAGACAACCGAGAAACTAGAAATAAAAGAGCTAAGTGAAGCATAAAAGCGTCCTAATTGATAAAACAAACCTATCCATCCTCTAAAATGAGCGGCAATAGCAAAGCAAAACTGGAAGCGATGCAAATAAAGTAATCGATGAGCGGACTTAGGTAATCAAGTATAAGTTTGGGACCGCCATAAACCGAAATCAAAACCACCGCTTTTTAGTTTTCCCATAAAATGATTGTTAAGCACAGGGAATGCCCATCACAAAGTACCAAACGACACAGAAAATAAAAGGTAAGAAATTCCTGTATACTGACCACAATCGATCCCCAAATGATAATCTCAAGGAAAAATAAAGATAAAAAAATTTCTGCAGCAAAAGACACACACCCACAATGGCTCTAAACGACCAAATTAAAACGATTATAGAGCCGAGTAGCATGCGGAGGATGGTATATCGTAAATCGTTTGTCTGATGGTCGTTCCAAATTCCAACTAGTTCATCTGAAAGAAATGGTGAGTTAAAATATTAACAGCTAATGTATGCAGAATGTGATATCGCGTATGGTCGTAAAGGTCATCACGCCCGATCCCCCTCTGTCCCCCACATACATTCCCATCATACTTTCCTCGTCATCTCTCAATTCTTCTCAATTCAATTGGAAGATGTTCATATCTCATTCATTTTTTCGCTCTGGCAATTAACCAGTTCAGAACTGCATCTAAATTCGTTTCCTCTTTGGCTGATATAGCGTAGCAGCTGACTTCTCTGTTGGTGATATCCTTTAGGTTCATTGCCTCAATCAAGTCGTCCACGCCGATTTTATCGGGGAGGTCGGATTTATTGCCGAGGACTAGCAGAGGTATGCCATCGAGAATCGGCTTCTGGAGGAGATTGTGAAGCTCCTCTTGAGCTATTGGGAGGGACTCTGTATCGGCAGAATCAACGATGAAGCTTTCCCAAATTGTCAGCGCGAAATCTATGACTAAAGTAGACTATTAGAGGAATTACACTATAGCGTTAACACCCCGGCAATAGCGCTCCCACATTGAGCGAAAACGGGGTTGACCGCCGAGATCCCAGCTGTCACAAGTAGCAGGAATATTAGTTTTGTTTCGAAGGCTGGGTGCGCTAGACTAAGTTACGGACCATTTTAAAGTGACGTGACCTTTTTGTACCCTTTTCATATTGAAACCCACTGTGGGGATTGAACTGAGGCAATGTCAGCATTACCTCGCTCGGACCATTGAAGAAGGCGACATATAAGGTATACGCACTCGATGGTGAACTCCCCACCCTAACGAACAGATTGAAGAGTCAGCGGTTAATGCTCCGACACGACTTTACACCCCGAAGATATGGCATAGCCAGAGCGCAGAGAACTTCCACAAAGGCTGAGACTTACAGCTAGAACCCGCAGCAAGGAAGTCTTTCCGGCATTTTGTAGCCCGATCATCGTGATATCCATTTCTGTCAGCCTGTTTCAAACGCAGCCAGTCAGCCCTACGAGTTGCATTTGATCCCGAGTTTGGCACATGACGCCATATCTGAGTTTGCTGTTTTGTTTGTTTCCTCCCAAAACATTTGGTTGTGAAGAAAATCTAAAGTTTATGAACAACGAATCGAAGTGATAGGGTATTCATACCAGAAGAGGCTGAGCAGATACTCATAGATGCGACGGAAAAAGCCTGACATGATGGTTGTTGGTATGGGAGATCTGCCGACAGCGACGGACGACGAGAATGGGTTGGATAGACACTGGAAAACAGGTTCCGGCGGTCGGATGGCTGGCTGGTTAGAGAACTTCCTTGGGGTGAAAGTCAAAGAAAAGCGCTGCTGTTATTTCTGGCTGCTGGTTGTGGTGAAGGGGAGAGGGGAGAAGTTGTGTGGGTTGAGAGTTGTGGGTTGTCTGGGGGGTTGCTGTGCGGGAAAGAGGAGGGGAAGAAGGGGAATGGGAAGACCTTAGAGGAAGCCAAAGTCGAAGAATAAGGATATCAATAAGAAGGAGCGGTCGGTTTAAGTCTGTCTCGTAGGTATGTGATCCCGTGTCACTCGGCAGTATTCTTTTTCTCCTGGGTTTATTGATGTTGTTATTGATCTTCCGCTCGCCTGTTCTCTCTCATGCACATTTCACTGATTATTTTTCTTTCACCATCTTGTATCTTACTCGTCCTCCATCCAACTATTTTATCTTCCACTCTCTGCCCATTTATCCCCTCCCTTTCACTATCTATCTATTTCAATATATTTTCTCACCTTCCGGCTCTCGTCTATGCACACTTTATCTTGTGATATTGCCCACACTTTTTGTTCAGTCTTTCCCTCGGAGGCGGCTCTGCTGTGTACGCGCAACACAAGCCTGAACACAGGAAATAATAGTTGTGACAAAAGTACTCATATACTACGCTAGAGGACATATCGCTTTATCGCACCCCCATCTCTCACAGCAGACATAGGATTAGAACGATAGCGGCTTTCTTCTTCGTGCCGTGAGCTTGAGTTATCCTTACTGCAGCTCAGTCTGCATGTACTGTGCGGGAAGGAAGGAAGGGGGAAAGGCCAGGGAGCTGGGCGATTCTCTGCTATTCGTTCGCTTCTTGGGGTGCAGGCTCGGCTAAGTATGCACCATCGGTCATGAGTGGGAGGGTCACACATCTTCCTTTCACTCAGTCAGCGCGCGCATCCCCTCCACTGACTGTTGCTCCACACTCCACACTCCGCACACGGAGAGCAGAGTACCACCTAGGTACATACTCTCACTCACGTTGGTTGGTTGGATGCCTATTATTGTTGTTACTGCCAGCCTCCTGCCCCTTTCGTCCCTTTCCGCCGCCATTTCCGGTCACCTGCTCGCTTTGCCCCGGGTAACCTCGTAAACGGTACATTACACTTAGAGTAGCACAGCTGTACCTACTCTAGATTCAAACCACATATACTTACAAATATGCGTTCTCCACGTTCACAAAGCTTGGAGTGGTATGAGATAGGACAGGGAAGAATACAACTTTATGTAAGGTGAACACTTACATGTACATGTACCGGGGGTCAGCCATAAATACCGAGAATCTGATAAGATAAACACACCTATTTCACAGCAAGATTCTCTTATCAGATTCTTCGTATTTACTCTCAACCCCCGGTACATGTACTTTAGTTTATATTGCGTGGATTAGGGTTGATATTGTTATCATTCTTCATTTGCCGGGTAACAAACAACCTTGCCAAGATTACTAGTATCAAAAAAAAAATTGACTTTGCTCGTGGTATAGCCATAGCGAGCCTTCAACCAGCGGCTGTGAGAATCATCGAATTGAAAAACAACCTCCAATCATGGCCACAAAAAAAAGTTCAGTCGCTTTCAATACCCTTGAAAGAGAAAATCTTTTCAGAAATCCTCCCAAGGACAAATCGGCTTATCCAGCTCTACTCGCCGCTGTACAGCCTCATATTGACTCCTTCAATGCCATTACCGTAGATGGTGGCTTACTCGACCTTGCCCGGGAAGACATCGGCATCAAGTCTGTATTCGATGGAACGAACGAAAAAGGGAGCCTTGGGAATAAATTATCATGTATGGACTTCCTGCTTTATTTCAATTTTTATTTCAATTGCCGAAGGGTTGAGAGAAAAAGAGAAAGAAGAAAATAAAACCTCTCCACTTTAAGCTAATCGAGAGTCTTTTTGGATCGAAATGTCAGTGCGTGTTGACAAAATCTATATCGGAAAGCCTCGATTAAGTGATCATCGGGACAAGACCAGCTTACGGCGTGAAATATTCCCCTCGGAGGTGAGAATCAACATTTTTGATTGCCATTGTGGCCGAGTAGATGCATTTTGCTTAATAATGAAAACAGTGCAGAGAAAGACACATTACCTATCGTGGAAAGCTTACAGTGAAGCTTGGGTTAAGAATAAATGATGGTCCTTGGATTTCCCAAGACCGCGAACTCGGAAGCATTCCGGTCATGGTTCGAGTAAGTATAATGCAGGTCTTTCTCCGCGAATGCAGGCTGGCTTACCGACTCTAGTCAAATCGCTGCCACCTAGAAAATCTAGCGCCTTATGATCTCGTCGAACACAAAGAAGAATCTGAAGAGCTTGGTGGTTATTTCATTGTTAACGGTATTGAGAAACTAATTCGGCTTCTCATTGTTGCCCGTCGAAACCATCCTATGGCAATTGTGCGACCTTCTTTCGCTGGACGAGGAAAATCCTACACCCAATATGGTGTCCAAATTCGCTGTGTCCGACCAGATCAAACATCCCAGACAAACGTGCTACATTACCTTAATGACGGAAATGTTACTTTCCGTTTTTCTTGGAGAAAGAATGAATACTTAATTCCGGTTGTGATGATCTTGAAGGCACTCATCGAAACCAACGACAGAGAGATTTTTGACGGACTCCTGGCCGCTAAAGATAGAGAAAATACCTTTCTTACAGATCGTGTGGAGCTGCTTTTGAGAACCTATAAAGGATATCAACTATATACAAAGAAGGAAACATTACAACATCTGGGCGAGAAATTCCGTATCGTCATGGGCGTGGCATCGGATATGAGTGATGTAGATGTGGGGAAAGAGTTCCTCAGGAAGATTGTACTGGTACATCTACAAGACCCGAGGGACAAGTTCCGGATGATGCTGTTCATGATTCGGAAACTGTATGCTCTTGTTGAGGGTAGCTGCACTCAAGACAATCCAGATGCCGTCCAGCATCAGGAGGTTCTTCTTGGTGGATTCCTCTATGGTATGATCATCAAGGAAAGAGTGGAGGAATACCTTGAATCTATCGTAAAAGAGGTACGACGAGAAGTAAGGCGGACGACTGCGTTCGATTTTTCGAATAAAGAGCAGCGGACAAGAATATTTGCAAAGGTGAACGAAAACATTGGAAGCGCTCTAGAGTACTTTATGTCGACGGGGAATTTATCCTCTCCTAGCGGCTTGGACTTGCAACAAGTTTCTGGTTTCACAGTTGTTGCTGAAAAGATTAACTTTTATCGTTTCATCTCTCACTTTAGAATGGTGCATAGAGGCAGTTTCTTTGCCCAATTGAAAACGACAACTGTTCGAAAGTTGTTGCCCGAGAGTTGGGGTGAGTGCCATATCCCCAGAGTCGTAACTTGAGTATATCTAAGCCTTGAGTTACACAGGATTCTTGTGTCCTGTTCACACACCTGATGGAAGTCCTTGCGGTCTGTTGAACCATCTTGCTCATAAATGTCGAATCACAACCACCATCTCGGACACTTCTTCAATTAGGAAAACGCTTGCTTCACTTGGCGTTGTGTCGCCTGCAACTGCATCATTGCCATCGTCTGCAACCATGTGTATCCAACTCGACGGCTGCATCATTGGTTGGTGCTCGCCCAAATTAGCCCGTGTGGTTGCCGATACTCTCCGATATTGGAAGGTTGAAGGATCTCACGACATCCCTTTGGATCTGGAAATCGGATATATTCCAGAGTCAAGAGGTGGCCAATACCCTGGAATCTACATTTTCTCCCAGCAGGCACGAATGATTAGACCCGTCAAGTACCTCCCGCTAGACAAGGAAGACCAGATCGGTCCTTTCGAGCAGCCGTACATGTCGGTAGCCGTAACACCACCAGAAGTTGTCCCTGGAGAGTCAACCCACGTGGAGTTTGACCCTACCAACATTCTCTCCATTATTGCCAACATGACACCGTTCTCCGATTTCAACCAGTCCCCCCGAAATATGTACCAGTGTCAGATGGGTAAGCAAGCTATGGGAACCCCGGGAACAGCATTGCGGCACAGGAGTGACAACAAGATGTATCGGTTGCAAACTGGGCAAACACCTGTAGTCCGATCCCCTCTCTATAACGAGTACGGATTGGACAATTTCCCGAACGGGATGAATGCGATTGTTGCTGTCATCTCATACACTGGCTATGACATGGACGACGCTATGATAATGAATAAGTCGGCGCACGAGCGAGGATTCGGCCACGGAACGATCTATAAAACGGAGAAGCTTGGATGGGCGGAGGAGAAGCGCCGCGGGGGCCCAAGCTCAAATAATCTTTTTGGGTTTATCAACCAAGAGGAAATCGAGGAACAGATCGACAGCATCCATGAAATGGGAGAATCCACAGATGAAGAAAAGTTGTTAAAAAAGAAGGCCTACCAGAGCCTAGGGATTAAACAGGAGTGGCTAGAGACTGTTGATCTGGATGGGCTGCCAAAGATTGGACAACTGGTGAAGGCCGGAGACGCTGTTGCTGTGTATCACGAGGTTCCGAAGGAATCCGAGAGCAGGTCAAGGTTTCCGCAAAACAAGGTTTTCACCTACAAGGGCAGCGAAGACGCTTATATCGAGGAAGTCCGATTGCTAGGTATACACACCGCTCCTCTTTTTCTTTCTTTATTGGATCTGCTAACGATAAGCTACTAGGTGTTGAGGGCAATGATAATAAACCCATGCAGCAAATCTCAGTGAAATATCGCATCCCCCGTAGTCCCAATATTGGTGATAAGTTCTCCTCCCGTCACGGGCAGAAGGGAGTTTTATCGCAAAAATGGCCAACCGTAGACATGCCCTTCACGGAGTCAGGAATGCAACCGGACATTATCATCAACCCCCACGCTTTCCCGTCCCGTATGACAATCGGTATGTTTGTAGAGTCTCTTGCCGGTAAAGCTGGGGCTTTGCACGGTATGGCACAGGATAGCACCCCGTTCCGCTTTGACGAGCACCACACCGCCGCCGACTATTTTGGACATCAGCTCAAGATGGCGGGCTACAATTATCACGGGAATGAGCCAATGTACTCGGGTATAACTGGAGAGGAGCTGCATGCAGACATCTATATTGGGCTGGTTTACTATCAGAGGCTTAGGCACATGGTCAACGACAAGTACCAAGTCAGGACGACTGGTAAGATCTCGGACCTGACACATCAGCCCATCAAGGTAAATATAATCATGCCCTAAACATATGCAATCATGTTTGGAATTCTGACGTGATTTTCTTTTTTTGCGCTTTAGGGTCGTAAGAAGGGAGGTGGTATCCGTGTTGGAGAGATGGAGCGCGATTCCCTGCTCGCGCACGGCACCGCATTCCTTCTCCAGGACCGTCTGCTCAACTGCAGCGACTACACGCAGACGTGGGTCTGCAGAGAGTGTGGCAGCTTCCTGAGCACGACACCCTCGATCAAGAAGATTGGATTCGAGAGCCAGGTCCGCTGTAGAAGATGTGCCAAGCCCGCCGCTGGGTTCAAGGCGGAGGGCATGGTCTGGGAGGATGGCAACGGTGGCCAGTTTGTAGGAGGATCGAACACGACCGTCATCGCCGTGCCTTACGTTCTCAAGTAAGTATTTCTATTTGCATGATGTATCCACAAAAGCTGTACTAATTAGCGGACAGATATTTGGATGTGGAATTGGCGGCAATGGGTATCGCGATGAAATTCAACATCGCGCCCTAAAAGGTAAAAAAGAAAAAGGAGGGAAAAAAAGACCAAGGGTTGGTAATGAGTGTATGATCATAGACAGGGATGCATGGGTACTGTATATTTCTGCGGAGCGTGTATATAAGAACGTTATTGATAATTACCAAAAGTTTCTCTTTCTTGACATCCATGTATTTTGCTGTAGTTTGTTAGAATTGGGGGGGATACGAGTTGTTTGCTTAAGGTGAAGGCTTTGTGGAACCCAGTTGAGAGGCCATAGAAGCAATAAGTATAAAAATCTGCATGCACTCAATGCAAGCAGCAGACCATTAGAAAGTGCACAGATAGGAAGGACTCCCGAGCATGCGAGAGCAATCCCCACGGTTAGTGGCATACATGTGACCTCTTGTCGCCGTTTATGCATCGACGTTTATGGTGTCTTTCCCGGGGTGGCCGGGGGGGGGGGGAGGTGCCAGAATAACGACTGTTCCGGATGCTTTCTTTTTTGTGGGGGGAGGAAAGGCGTGGGGATAAATTTCTTGCCTGTACGATCATTTCTGGTGGATTCTAAATTAAAGTAGTGCCCTGGCTTGGCACAGGCTGGCTTGGCACAGGCGGCACTTCCCACGCACCCGCGCTTCATGCCATCGTGGAAACCCTGTAATAACGGCCCGAGTCACTTCACTCACAAACTCAGCACCAAGCACCCTCACTCACAGACGAACCCATCGCCCATCACCAACACCTCCACCACCACCAGCGCCATGTCCGCCCCCGCCACCCCAACAGCCCTCTCCCTCCTCACCCTCGCCCACCCCCCGCCACCGCCGCCAGCATCCACGCCACCAAGCTCCACCGCAAGCCCCTCTACCTACACCCCACCTCCACCACCACCTCCACCACCACCGACGCCCGCACCGCCCGCCAACTCGCCCGCGCCCCCTCACACCCCAGCACCCACCGCAAACCGCGCCCCCTCACCGCACGTGAGAAGCGCGCCCTGCGAATCCACCACATCCCCAAGTCCGCGTCCTACGCCACGTTTGCGCCGCTGCATGACTTGTGGGTGGGGTACATGCGCGAGGTGCTGGGCGCCCACTGCGCGGGCCTCGGGCAGGCGCAGATTGGCGCGAAGCTGGCGAGCGCGGACTATCATGGGGCGGTGCTGGAGGTTGTGAGGAGTCGGTGTGTGAGCCGGGTGGGCGTGAAGGGGGTTTGTGTGAAGGAGACGAGGGGGATGTTTTATTTGGTGGGTAGGGAGGGGGGGGTTAAAGGTTTGTATAGTTTTTTTTTGGTTTTGGGGGACAGGAGAAGGCTAATTAGGAGCAGAGGTACCGAAAGAGCATACGGTGTTCCGGTTTGAATTACCGCTGCTGGAGGAGAACGATGCGCCGGCGGAGACGGAGACGGAGACTACGGCGGCCCCGGGCCCGAGCACAGAAACTACGGCTATGGACGTGGACACTACGGCGGCGGCACCGGCACCGGCAAAGCCCAGGTGTATGGTATTCGAGCTGCACGGGCAGCAGTTCATGTACCGCTCTGCCGACCGGGTGGGCAAGAAGTTTAAGAATCACGCGTTGGTGGATCTATAGTCCTATGGTCCTCTCTTTCTTCTTTCTTCTTTCTGCTTTCTGCCTTTTTTTTTTTTTTTTTTGTTGTAATTTGTTCTCTTCCGGCGGTGTTGTGCTGGAATTGTGTATATTGATCATTGACGCTAAAGATACATGTGTACAATACATGTAGCCAGTTGGCTATTTCCATCGTAGTAATACTTATACTCAGACAGGTATATATAGAGAGAAAAAAAAGGAAAAAATTAGAAATAGAAGATGTAATATAATTCATCTAAAGAAAAGAAAGACAAACAGTAATAAATACTTGACCGCTACCAGTAGTAAGAAAAAACACAGCCCGGGCATCTATCATACAAACTCATAACCTAAAACTAAAGCAAAAGAAGAAAAGAACCCCACTACGTAGAAGGATCCCCATGCTTCTTCCTCTTAATCGATCCAATGTGATGCTCCTTCATCACATACGGCTCCTCCGAATGCTCCACCGGCAGTAACTTCGCCGATATCACCTCCGAGCTGCTCCCACTCCCACTCCCACTCCCACTCCCACTCCCACTCCCACTCCCGCTGCTCTCCCCCGCCGCCGCCGTCGTTTCCTCCCCCGACGACGACGACGCCCCATCCGTCTTCACCGGCGACTCCACAATCTCCCCCTTCAACACCGGCGTCGTCGTCGACACCGGCGACCCATCCTCCGTCTCCCCCGTATCCTTCTGCAGCCCCAACTCCCTCTCCACCAGCGGCTTCGTACTCGCCTTCCTCATCGTCGGAATACTCTCCCCCTCCTCTGGCTCCCTGACCAGCCGATCATGGCCCTCCACCACCTTCCAGACCACCTGCAGCCTGTCGAAGCCCTTGATGCCCTTGCGCAGCGTGCCCTTGATGCCGTCCATCTTCTCCCAGTCGATCGCAAACACGCCGCTCGTGTCGTCGCCCTCAAAGTACGCATTGAACCACACGTGCGCGATGCTCGTCACCACGCTCCAGCCGTAGGCGGCCTTGCTGCGTTTCTCGAAATCGATATTGACGTCGTTCGTCGCAAGGACCAGTGGGTCCTTGGGTCTATACACCACGGCGCTCCCCTCACCCTTGACCTCCCCGTCCTCATGCCCGCTCATCTCCTCCTTACGGAACGTGTGGTACGTCTTGATCTGCTTCCCCTCATCGACATATCCCTGGACAGCGACACGCAGGCCGTCGCGCAGCCCCCACACGTGGACTTCAAGGATCGCGACACGGCGCTCGATGTACGTCTTGTTGAGCGCGCGGGCCCAGCGCTCGACATAGTTGACCCAGCGCACCTGCGATGGGATGGACACGCCGTCGCCAAAGTTTGGGCGCATGCGCGTGCGCGTGAACTGGGCCATTGCGGCGGCGGCGGTCCAGCCCTCCTCGCTGATGAGGTAGGAGCACGACATTGTTCCGCTGCGGCCCTTTCCGGCTGTTTTTGCGCTCGGACTCAGCATTGCAATTCAAACCTCCGGTACAAGACACACACCACCACCACCCCCTCCGGATATTAGGGCAACAAAGAGCTCGGGGGGGGGGGGGGGGGGGGGGACAAACACACCTTTACAATGCACTACGACAACCCGATCCGGCCCGCCCCTGACATGCTCCCTCATGCTCGCGACCGTCGAGGGGATGAGCGCAAACGGCGGGGGATGGTGGTCCGGGAACGGCGCATGGTAGATGCGGCCATAGACATCCTCGTCCCTGTATCCCGTGCCCTCTGCGCGGAACTCCCAGATGGCCCAGTTGTCGCCGTGCTGGGCATCCAGGAACTTGAGCACGGCCGAGAGCGGGTTGCGGTATGCGTTTTTGGGGAAGGCCGTGGCGGGCATGGACATTGCGATGATGGTGGGGTTGGCGTGGTGCACGTAGCAGAGGTCCAGGTTGGACTCGGGGTGCTGCACACGCGGGCTGGCGATCAGGCTGCGGAGGAGGGAGGCCTAGGGGGGTGTTAGCTGTGGAGGTATCTCGGGGGGAGAGGGGAAGGGAGGTGGGGGGGTTAGGTACCATGAGTGGGTAGGAGCAGTAGAGGGTGAGTGAGGGGAGGATGATGTAGGTAGTGAGTGTCGTGAGAGCTGTTTTCGTTGTTTGTGATAATTCTTCAGGGTCCATGGGGAGGGAAGCTTGAAAGGTCTTGGGAGAGAGAACGAGGCTGCGAGTGGGCGAGTGAGTGCGTGAGTGCGTGAGTGTTATCAGCACTTCTGCGGCCGTTGTGCATTTCTTGATTCGGCGGGGACGTCATCGATGAACAGCCAGATGGCTCTTGACCGGGGTAGGTATCTAGCTGTAACAACAGTTCAGGGCCCGGAGTGAGTGAGTGAGTGAGTGAATTGATTACCCTCCTCTGCTCTATACAGCACACTGGGGAGAAGTGGGAACGTGAGCTGTCAAAATGCCTCTTCTAATCCGCAGCAAACAATTGCATCCCCGAAAGCAGGAATTGGCCATGGGAATCTGCTTCTATCACCTTGCATGCAGCCTTGTTTCCAGCACCCCTAACCCTGGTTGCACACACACACAAATGTGACAAGCAATCCTTCACACGCCGTCACTCGGCGCCACCTAGCTGCTAGTGCACCCGCATGAAGCAACGGACCCCCCGGCCTGTCAGCGGCCTTGGCCAACCCTGCTGCTGGCTTAAACCTGCCACCGGGGGGAATACATGTAGCTTCGACGCTCGATGCCCCCTAGCGGAACAGCCATGTATGTACATGTACTTGCTCTCGGAGCACTGTCTGTCTGTTCTTAAGCCAGGAGTCCTGTAGTTACATGTAGCTGTTCATGGTCATCAGTGCGTTCCATAGATACAAGTATGTGGCTGTAGCGTAAGCTCTGCCTATTCCCACCATCTGCCCTGCTCTTTATCATATTCTCCTTTTCCCAATAGCATCTAAGCTTGTCCCGTCCGGGGAATTGATGGAACTCCACCTCCCCTACATATATACCCATTGTCGATAGCTCTACTTCTATGAGGTTCAACAGTTCCTATTTCCAGCAAGGCATGGGACCTCCGGGGACTCTTCATACCCCCAGCAGATACTCCTTAACTAAGAGTCTACATCTGGCAGACGCCGACCAGCGAGTAGTATTTAAACCACTCCGCTTTACCACGACCGGACAATCGTACTCCTGTTGTGCACGAGCACCAGAATTACTCACTAAGAGTTATTAGTATTGTGCAGTTCTAACCCTCGGCATGTTGCCCATCTGGTATCGTAAGGGATAACTACGCTTTGGCGATACTCTCACCCGCCGGTGTTACTGGGATATGTACCACCAAGCTCCAGACGCTCGGTGTAGAGTCCGCTATAGACAGTTAATTGAGGTAACAAGAGTGCCATATTGCAAGTAATTGCTCCCAGCACTAAATAGTATACGAATATGCAGATACACGTCTTATCTATTGCCAGCCAGCCCCGAAGAGCTCCAATGACGGGAGAGGTTTTGTTATAGCGACACCCAGGCCTAAAAGGGCGTTAAAGTCTACACATCTGAAATGTAGAGCTACATATGCATGTGGAAGAGCCATGCCAGCCGGTATCAGTGTAGGATCAATTGAGTACATGAACCCGCCCTATAATCAATATGCGGCCGTTAATTATCCTTATATACCTCCATCAGCATTTCCAATGGCAGGCGCAATACCAGAATAAACGGTTACTAGGTGCATGGTTGGTATCATGTTAACTGCTCCGGCGGTGTTCTTATCCAGTTTAGAAAAAAACCAGACACACAGGCACCGCTCGAGTTCAGCGCAGACCAGGTACATCAAGCCCATAAAATCACCAACCTAGTCCCGTAAAACAAACTATATATCGATAACGCCCGCCTCAAGCGGCACAATTTATATCATCGGACCGGTCGACGATGATTGTAAGCTGAGTAGAGGTTTTGGATGAAGAAGAGAGTAGAGTGAAGGAAATGAGAACGGGAGAGGTTGTCATAAAGCGCAGACGGGATAGGGATGGTGCTAAGATCTGATGGAACTAAGGTTTGCGGGGGGGTGTTGGGAAGTGACGGTATATACTAGGTAAAATATGCGTCTCTTTAACCATAAACCCCACCCTGCACTCTTCCTCATCACCACAAAACGATGAACCACCCGACGGAGGTCCAGTAGACAAAGATACGTGCACATCTATACATGTCTCTATATCCTCCCCGCCCACATAGCAGCCCGGGGGGCGCCGCTCGGTAGAATGCAAATAACGCATAACGAATAACCGGGGGGATTTAGATCCGTCCCTCCCGGGAGATAGCAGGGAGCATCACCCACGCGAGGGCTTCCGCAGTCATTGCTATAGATTACTATAAGGCTTCAATGCCTATTGACAAATAGCGAATTTAAAAACAGCAACTCAGGTGATGTGGCGAGTGATATCTCATGATACACTCTAAGTGGTGTTTTCCCTCGGTTTGGGCTGAGAAGGGTCTAGTTTACCCCGGAACAAGCAATAGAGGTATATTTAACAGCTACTGCTATCAGGAATAGCCGCTGTTGGAGAGATGTATATATCTCCTGCAGAAGAAAAAATGGGTCCGGGGCATGAATTTTTAAATAACCAGTGGCTGGCTATGTCTCCCTAGGCTAACAAAAAATACACGTCCTTAAATAAGCTCGCAGCTCAAGACAGCCCTCCCCCAAAAAACCTATATCATCGTTTCTGCGACGGGGGGAGCTTGTTGACTTAATTGGCAGAAACAGATCCTGCCGGGTACCTCCAGAATTCCCACGCTCTTCCACTCAGAGGGTACAGAATCTATGTACATGTCTATGGTCTTTGACTCTGGTATGTACACCCTTTTCAAGGCTTCGCGAGCTGGCCCACGGACTGATGGTGGTGTAATCCGCCCTGCACAACCCTACGTCCTCTTTCATGAGCACACCCATTTCCCGGGGGACTCTACATATGTTATTACTGAAACACCATGTTCCACTCTGTCACATTCACGGCACTAACCAGCGGTCCTTTCAGCGACGAGTGACGACCTGTGACGCGATCCGCCCATAATACTGCTTATCTTAGTGCGTGTATGGCCTGTATAGCGTACATGATGTATCTTGTGCATTCTCGCGGCCGTATTTAATATCCAAACCAAAGGACCCACAACGCAAATCGTATTCCAAATAACGGAGGCTGTAGTGTGGTCATATGCCATCACTCGGCCATTACCAAGACTTTTTTTTCTGTTGCCTATAACAATCTGCTCTATGCATTCTAGATACCAGCAATGCCAGATAAACATCACATTTTATCACTCGTGACCATATAATCAACTTTTATCCAGCTACAATTGAGATCGCTCGCAATCCCATATTCCTCAATTCGAAACATCCCAAGGTGCGGAACCATAACTATATCCACACTAGTTAAAAAGGTAGCTCCAATATACCTTCTTCGTGCATGAACGCGTTGCCCTCCCTCCCTTGCCCCAAAAAGCGAAGATAGCAGCAGCAGCAAAAAAAAGAAAAGGAAAGAGAGAAAAGAAAAGAGAGAAAAGAAAATGAATCCCTCAATGAGTAAAAAAACCTGATTACAAATAACCCACAGAAATAAAAGGCCAGCTGTTCTGCGCTCCACCAAAATAAGATTAAAAGGAGAAGGGAAGAAAAAAGAAAAAAAATAAAACGAAAACATAAAAACGCCGTTATACAATGACTCGCGAGAATACTGGCTGTTTTCCGCTGAACTCGCCCCCATTACCTTCCATCTCACCGATGCTACCCACACCGTTTGCCATCCTCGCGCTTGAAATCCTCCCACCGATCCATGTCCAAACCCTCATCACTTCACCAGATATCTCCCTCTCCCCAGCACGGACATTACTGTTCATCTCGACAATCTTCTGCACCCCGTCCCATAATTTTTTGCGTCTCTGTGGATTGAATTCATGTTGCAAAACCTGATCCCTCAGCTGAACGGCCCCAACCCACGGTTCTGTTGGATTATCGGTCGCATGTTGAGCGAGTTGTTGAAGCGCAACGTGAACCAATTGAGTTACTTGCTCTTTGTAATGACGGTTTGTCGCAATGTATGACCGGAGACGGGTAAGGATGACAGTGATAAGAATTACTCCTGAAAAAAAAAAATACGTCAGAAGGCTCGAAAGTATCAGAAAATGGGAATGCACTCACCAATAAGCTCGATTCGATGTCTGACCATGGATCCGGTGATTGACTTGCGGATCGCACAGCCGAGCGGAATGCTAGCGAGAGAGGTTGATCGTAGGTAGGTGACATCTTGGCTGTGGATGTAACCATCGGCGACCTAAGTCAGATAAGAACGCTCTTCCTTCTAAATTGAAAAGAAATCAATCCTACCTATTCTTGGTGGAAACAACCTCTTCCCGATTCGACACGTCCTCTAGTGCATTCCTCCATAGCTCGTTGAACTGCGCGTCCGACAAGCTCGGCTGTATTGTAGGAGAACAAAAAGTTAGCGATATTCAAACAAGGCTGTGGACGATTGCGACACCACACAAAAGAAAACATGGGAAAATATTCCGCGGGACTAACGGCTTTTAGGTCATACAACACTTGCCTCAGATCGGCCTCCGAGACTCCCGCCTCCTCATCCTTTCCCAGCGAAGCTTCTCCACATTCAACGTCTGCTGCTCGTTCCCTCAAAACTCTAATCGCCTCATCCGACAAGATTGCGATTCTTCGAAGCTTCTCTGAGTCTGGCTCACATGTAGGGGGAAGAGGCACTAGTCCCCCGAAAGAGAGTGGATTGGGAACGAGCACATAGTCGTCTTTGCAATCAGCTTCGTAGTTAAATCTGCAGATGGCATTTGGAGGACAGGGCTCGCATTGAGGGCGGATGAGGCTCGTCCAGTCAGGGTCGTATGTTTGCATATCTGATACAACATATTAGACAGACCCCAAAGTAAAATCTAAGAGAAAAACAAACCGAGTTTCCCCAATCCGCAATAACCCACTTCCTTTTTCTCCTTCCGCCACCACATAAAATAACCGCTCAGGAGCGCTATTACGATAGCCCAAAGCATATTTGTACCTGTAGAAGATGACTGACCGCCTGTTCTCCTTCTTAGAGCACCGGGCTCCCTAGCGATTTCTTCGGTCTCTTCGGGAGTAAACTCCTCACCGGGTTCAAGAGAATAACCTTCCTCTTCCTCCTCTTTCTTCACTATACCTTTGTTTTTGACATCATTCTTAGAACTCTGCAGTCTTGAGAGTGGAACCTCAAATTTCTTGGAGGAGGGCACAACATGTGTATTGGTTGGGGTATAAGCAGAATCACGTTCACTGTCGTATCTAGACGGAGTAAAATCTGTTCTCCTTCTAGCAGATATTGATTTGCGTTTTTTCTCACTAGCCAGAGTCTAGGCACAAATTAGTTAGCGTAAAACCCCATTTTCTATACTTAAGGGGATATCTCACTTTACGGCGATCAGCTCTTTCGGGTGATCTTGTTGCAGGAGGGGATCCACTCTGGAAAGGATTGTGTGACGAAAATACAGCGCCGTCGTCCTCTGAATTTTCAAACTTAAGTTTTGGCGGAGAATCTCCAGGACTCTCAGCCTTGGGTATAATGGATTGACGGACGCTACTATTTCGAGTTTTCCGGATAGATTTTGGGGGCTCTTGGTCCTCAACTTCAGATTTATCTGTTTCTTGTACTCTAGTATGCTTTCCTGAAGCTCTTTTAACCGAAGCTGACCGTCTAGGGGTCCGCGCAGGTCTAGGTGTCTCCTCCTCCTCTTCAGTATCCGCTGTCCCCACGCGAGACGCGGCGCGGCGCGATGACCTTCTGGGGGTCGCCTCGATCGACGGGGTGTTGTCGCGACCCATATCGACTATTCCACGACCAGACGGCTTTACACGACTGCGAGCATTCAGAATAGTACGAGCCTTTGGAGCAACATGTTGAGTGAATAGCTCAACAAGCTGTGCTTTTTTCGCAGAAGTTGGGTAGTCGACATTGTGTTCCAGGAGGATTCCACGAAGTTGTGGGACTTTAAGGGTAGCTGGATCAAAGCCAGGTTGGAGGTAATCAGTCTCGTTGTCCATCTCGATATTTCAAACGGGGCCCAAGCTCCAAAGTGGACAAGTAGGTGATTAGGTGTCCTGGATGTCGGAGATAGAGCGTCTCTGAGATGCGCAATAGTGAGAACTTAAAGCAGTTAGAAGATATTTAAAAGAAGGTAGAGGCAAGGATTAGCGTTAATATCTGTAGGACGCTGATGGGTGTTGAAGATGAGGTTGGCGGGGGAAATGACACAACGTAGACGACGTTCGAGTACATAGGTGGCGATGTCTTGCCAAGCTTTGAGGATCACAAGGTCTGTGTGGCAATGGCAGCGCCACACCGCCACATGCACATCCTATCACTCGCTATTGGGCGGGCTTCCTGGAGACCTAGGATGGGTTTTAAATTTTGTAGCGTTAGACTTGCTACGAATATTTGGTGGTTATTATTATTGTAGCAAATATGCACTTCGAATTCAGTGGTTAAAACGTCACGAAAAGGTCTTGATTACATGTATGATCATGATCAATGAATGCTAGCTTCGATACTAATATATACATTATATACATACATGTAATATACATGTATGTAGTACTCTGAGTACATCAGGCCAGGGCCGAATACTACATGTAGTTGGTGGGGCATGTAGATTGAGAATATTAGCAAGTCTACATGTACAGCCACTCAGCAAAAGTATTCGTGATATAGTTTTAATGTCAGTGCGCAGTGCGGCGCACCCGTAATACTGATGTTCTTATCCTTCATTAATTTAGGCACCGTTGGTCACTGGGAGTCTTCTCTTGGGGGTTCTTGATGGTCCGCCACGGTTACATATGGAGAAATGTCTCACTCCGAAATCGGAATCACGAACACTTTTGCAGAGTGGCTGTAGGTCAATATTTACCGTGAGAGTAACTCCGCTTATAAGTGTGACTTAATTATAATCATAAGTACATCATATACGTACAGCCGCATTTGAAAAGTATTGGCACCTCCGAGCCAAACTCACGAGGCAGTCCTTTCTGCTTTTCAATTCTCATATTCGAGACAATTGCCAGAGAGAGCTGCAATGTCTCTATTGCGGTCATACCTATCAATAAGTTGAGTATGCGCGAGTGCCATGGTTTTTGGTGGGCCACAATTCATGAACGACTCAATATAGTAGGGTGCCAATACTTTTCGAATGCGGCTGTACATACGTAGCGCCTATCGTACGCCAATCCTCATAGTTACATGTATACTCAACACCGCCTGTACTCACATGGAGCACTATCGTTGTCCTTTAATTGCCATTAGAATCTATGCGAGTAAAACTATGATTAGAATCCGATGGCTTTATAGATATTTCTTGATCAGATGTAGTAATTCCTTATTAAATTTCACTATTAAAAGTTTGATTTTGTACATACATGTACTTTTATCTTGATCGAGATTTAAATCCGTTAAGCGGGCGCGCGTCATGTCCAAAAACTCCTTAATTCAAGTTTTTCCACATGTACAGACTGCGTCCAGCACCAATTAAATTATGCGCCAGAAAGAATTTAAACCATAAGCTACTACTTCTGAGGACCATATTGTCGCTAATAGCTATATAATTAATTGCTGCGCTTCTCTAAGAGTCGCGTCGTCATAATTATCGATTCTACAAAACTATGATCTTGTGGATATTTAATTAGCTTTAGGAATAAGCTTAGGATTAATTTGCTCATGAAGCTTATTACATGTATAGCTGTTGGTAGCGATAAAACTGGTTGGACGATGAGCGAGTTTATTTCCAAGTTTGACAGCCAAAACAGGCGCATTCAGAGATAATGGGATCAGCCAATCTTTTGACATCTTACTTTTCGTTGCTGTCAAGTGACTGAGGATCGCGATCGATGATTTAGAACCTCAGCGGCCGTACCGCCATTTGTTTGATATATATTTGAAGTATGTCAGATGCCTTGACAAATCATATCAAGGAGATTAATGAGTCGACGCAGCACTGGGATACATCAACAATTGGTTGTAATTGGTCCTATAGCTACGTAACAAGTGCATGGAATGCTCAACGAGTAATGCATGCATGTACCTGTCCAGCTACATTTAGCTACTAAGACGTGTAGCTATATGTACGCTCTATGTATCTATATCATGTACATGTAGTATTGCAAGTCATAATATGTGCAGACAATGAATGTACGCTGTATATGTCCGATTCCTGGATCTCCAGATCTCGCAGCGTAATCATTAAAGTTCTTTATACATCAGAGGAGCTAGTTCAGTTAGTACGGTTCGGAGCTTGAAATTTAGGGATGACTTTAGTTGCTACGAGGGAATAGACTAAGTTGGTAATGTATCCGAATCCATAGAATACCCCGAATTTAAACCTGGCGTCTTTTGCGCAAAGGCTCTACTAGTAACGCCCCTATCTTTGGTGCAGTAAGTATAACATGTAACTTAAGTAATGGTATAGATAAGGAAAGATTGTTGTCATGAAACCAGTACTACAAGCATATACATGTGTATACTGCAGGCGCGCCATCAGATCGGAATTCGAAAGCCATGAGACTAGATGCGCTCTAGCTCTAGGATTGATCCGAGTTAAATAACGTACATATACAACATGAAATACGTAGTTTACATGTGTTTGTGATATTCCCAACATTTAGAGCCATGGTAAGTATTACGATATCGACTTGGAGCATATATGTTCGATATGCAGCAGCTGCAAATTAAATGTTTTATAATTTAGGGAGATCCTAAGTTTATATACATAATATTTAGATACAGTATAAAAAACTGGATTGAGGGGATAGATTAAGTCATAGCGTATACAAGTAAATACATACTGTAGACGTTGACATTGCAGCATGCACAAATCAACCCCATTTCTGGTGGCAAGCTGCATACTGCGCCGACTTATGTAACAAATTTCTAGTATAATTTAGGTGTATTATTACATGTATATATACCTGCGGGTGTTTGTCTCAAACGGCGTCCTAGACCTGGATATCCATTCCTTACGTGGCCCTGGGAATTTTTATGTTTGAAGTTGCGTTGGGACAATACCCTAACCCTAGTGAAGGAACTCCCCGTGACAACATGCATAGTGAGATTAGATGACCCACGTTTCGTGCGGTACACCCTCAGCTCTAGACGAGTCTCAGGCTGACCACTTGGGATTAGGAACTTGCCTGTAGCACAACAGTAGTTCAATACATGTATGTAGACACCTAGGCTTACTTACCCTACGGAGAGCAGCGAGCTGCCTGTGGGCACGAGACTACATATTGTAAGTGGATATACTTTTTTACTTCGCTACATCATAAGTAGACATTGATAGCAACATACGTATATATTTGTAAGAAGTATTTTATTGTCGTCAATAGTACCAAGGGCTTACGGCACATCGAAGGTGGTTCCAACGGAAAGCTCGAAGATTTTCGGGGATCGGGCTTCGCACTGTACTTGCTTTTTCCACCGATTGTTGCTGGGTGGCCCGTGACCTATCTAGAATAGTCTTTTCTGTTATCCCAGATTCCTACTATAAGGTAGAATTTGAACGGATTTGTGATGTGGAAACTGTGCCTTTATGTGTGGCCCGCTCAGTGCACAGAGCCTATGTATGCATGCAGAATTGCAAATGCGCACTCCATTGAAAGATGGAAGCGAGTAACCACTGACTCGGTACATCCGCTTTACCCCAAGTGCGTAGTAATTTGCTTCTGTCTTTGAGAATGAGGGGGTGGGGCATACATGTAGTTAAGGGGACGGTAGAGATGTCGGTACCTTCATGTAGGTACTCTACTTTACATTTGAACTTGTATGACATAATAAAATAAGCATGCCTTACCATAATTATAAAAGGGGATGATGGGTGGGAGGGAATTCCACGCGCCCTGGTGTGCAATTTCATGTACATAGAGTACCACGTACCTACATGTAAGTAGGGTGGATAGGGCGAAAAATAGCCAGAAGAGTCATACGCATAGGTTCATAGGATTTCGTGCCGGGCTTCTACCAAGTAATGGCATATCTGCATACCGAGGATCTGGGAGGGGTTCGGATGTTTGGAGGAGCAAAGCAGAAACCAAGCTCCTGCTGGCAGGGCGGGGGAGCGGGCTCCCAATCGTTTCGCGTGTCGCTCCACTCAGCCCAACCCAGTGCCCAACCCAGTGCCCAACCCAACGGGGTGTGCCGTAGCAAGCCTGACAATCACAACCACCTAGATCAGGCAAAATAATAAATAATAGGAAAGAATTATTAAAAATTCAAGAATCCAAATCGCAAAGTAAATCATCAAAAAGAAAGAAAAAGATACACCGACCCCTTACCTAGAGGAGCCCAGACAGTCTCCCCAATCATCGTATTCCCCACACTTACTTTACAACCCCCGTCCGCTTCGTCCTGCTATTCCTCTTTGCTGCTCGGGTTCATCATCTTCCTCGATAAACTACATACCACTCCGTACTACTGCTACCTACTGCTTCGACTACTTACCTGCCCGTCGGTCAGCATTCCCGAACTGCGCTGTCATTGCCCTGCCCTGTCATGGCGGTTTAGTGCATCAGTTACTGTGTCCGACGGCCGCGAACACAAAATCCCTACCCATCACGTCGTGTTAAATACACAGTGGCCTGGGAAGAGAAAGAAAGAAAGAAAACAAAAAGGACAATTAGACAGAGAGAAAGCCCGCAGGGGAAAAAACGACAAGAGATCCCCAGTACCAGACAGCCGAGTGAGATAACGTATAACGATAAAGAATAGGAGGAAGGAAAAAGAAGACAAAGGTGATTCCTGTATATACGTATACAGGTGGTTGTGCCCATCCCCCTCGCAGAGGTTCCTCCCTGTGGAGCGCATCATATTCGCGTATCAAACATCATGACCCGACACGAGCAGCGTCAGCGGACGAACTCGGCCACCTCATACCATTCATTGAATTCTTCGCGCTACGGGCAAGATAGTTCAATGTCGCAGGGAAGCCGGAACCCTATCCAGGTCCCTGCCAGGCCTCGCAAGTGAGTGCTTGTTATTTCTTATTCTATTGGCTATCATCAATTTAAATTTCCTTTACAACCTACAATCCCTTCTCCCCTTCTGTCAAGGTTCCAGGTCCCTTGGATACTCACCCCCTATGTAACGAAAATTCATATGTGAGAGGACTGCAAAAAGAAAAGAAGAAAAAAAGAAACAGAATTCGCCGTTTGAGGTTTCGTTGCAGGGGCTGGTTGGTTTGTGTGGGCCTGGACTAGTTGTTTGATCTCCTGTCACGATGTCATTGAGCGCTGACGCGATGTTGTTGCGGTTATCCGCTTTACTTGCTTGCTCTACTACAGATTTGATAGAGAACAAAACGTTTCTCCAGGGTCATTTGCCCCCGTTAATCACTCACCTCCGCTATCATCTCAAAATACTGGCCCGATTATGAGTGATCATCGTCGTGAGCTCGCCGTTCTGCAAACACCTCCTTTCATACTTCGCCAGAATCCTCCATCTACAGCTAATTCGCCCATGAATCCATCGGCATCTTCTTCCACGCCCACTACGAGCTTCTTGAATGGAAATTTTGCCTTTGATTCCCACTCTCCTCATACGCAGGAACAATATCAACTCTCGCCCCCGCTGCGACCTGGTACCGCACCTTCTTCAGGTGATCGTAATGACCGATCATCGGATGGCTACTTTCCGTCAGATGATCGCCGTCCGTCAGTTGCTTCAGTGATTACCAATGCTTCGTCTACAGGTTCGAAATCTTCTATAGGAAGACAAATTATGAAGAAATTCTTTGGAGATGGGGACAATAATGATAGCCCTGCTTCCTCTGAATCATCATTACCGCCAAGTGCCACACCTCGTTCACACTTTGGAAGGCCTACTACACCCACATATTCACGACCTCGAACACCTGTGCCTTCTTCAGATGTTGTGCCGTTTTTGTATCAAGACCCGGAGGTGAGCTAATATTTCATTATATTCATGGGCATTGCTACTGGATTAAGGTTAACACTAGTCGTAGGACATTCGTCGACTAGGCGATGCACCTGTTCATGACGCCCCGATACAAATGGATGATAGAAGATTAGACCAGGGGGAGCAAAGTTCCACATCCTCGCATTCTCATAGGTTTATTCACCGTAGCAAAAATAGGGATAAGGATAGGGACAAGGGACTTGACAAGGAGCTTCCTCCACGACCATCATCAGCACATAAGGAATCCTTGTCGTTTTCAGGTCTAGGACATGATCATAGGAAAGGCCTTAGGCTACATTTAGATGGGACAGCATCCTCCCACTCATCGCAAACACGACTCGTACGACCTGGATCACCAACCCCTTCAGTTGCCAGCTCACTTTCGAACAATCCACCTAGATCTCCTAGTGAGAATACCCAGAGCAAAAAGCATTCTTTGTGGGGAAGTCTTTGGGGGAAATCTAAAGACGACAAAGACGACAAGGATAGTTCACAATCTACGAGATTGAAGGGATCAAAGGGGAAGAGTTCTGAGCCTATAACAGTGTCAGCAAGTGGTATCTCACCAGTTCACGTTACTCCCAAGAGAGGCCCGGCTACGTGTGAGTACGTTAATCCTCGGACATTGGACTACGCCCCAGTAGAGATGGTGCAACAAGCTCGAAGGAAGGGAGGAACGAGTATTCCCAGACGTGCTGGTAAGCGGGAGGTTCCCCATGATGGGCCTGATTCGAGAGGGGGACTCGGGGCCAACCGCCGCGGACCTCGCAGTGCCAAAGATATGGGAAAGCAGCCGACTCAGTTCACACTCGATACAGACCTTTCAAATATTCATGAATTTGTGAAACCGACTGGAGCCCAATCTGCAGAGCCGGGTCCTGGCACGTCCTTTTCATGGGAAAATCAGGAGAAAACTCCCCCTGTAGGGACCGAGATAACCTGGGAGCCACCCGAGAGTTGGGATTCCGGAAATCGGAATGAGATAATAAACGAAAAATTGGCATTGGAAGAAGGTGGTGGGGATGTATCGGAAGACACACAGGTATGCAAGCACCTCTCTAACATTTACCTATTGAAACGTGCATGAACTTACTTTGTGTAGTATTGTATACGGGTATTCCGAGCCGACTCAACCTTTGCAACACTCTCCTGTAGACTTCAAGCTTCAGTAACTGAGGTACTGCACTTACTCGGCCGGAAATCATTCTTACAGGATGACTTGAAAAACTATCAGATTGTGATGAAGAAGAATGGTCTCTTGCGTATCCTTGGGCCTAATGAACGCCCGTTAAAAATACAAAAAAGGCTACTAGAGCAAGCTGGTTACACCGAAGATGATCATCTAGAAGAAATCGGGAGAGAAGACCATGGCTACTTATGCCGATTTACTTTCATGATGTCTAGGATGGGTGGTTATTCTTTGGTATGTAGATGTGACTTCCTTTGCAGTAGGGATGGAATTCATTAATAATTGGTTTGTTCTTAGCAGGATCAGGACCCAGGTCTTGGCAAAATGCAAAAGTTCAGCCATGTTGACCTCCAAGGTCGCAACCTTTTGGCGATTCCAATCACATTATATCATAAAGCCCCGGAAATCATATCTTTGAATCTTTCACGCAATCTTTCGCTCAATATACCAACAGATTTCATACAACAATGTGTTAATTTGAGAAAAATCGAGTTTCAGGGCAATGAAGTTGAGAGGCTTCCTTCCAGCATTTCGGCGGCTTCCAGGTTAACATATTTGGATGTTTCGAATAATCGACTATCAGAATTAGACAATGCCTCGTTAGAGAACCATGCGTCTTTGGTTGCATTGAAGATGGCAAATAATCGTCTTAGAGCCCTGCCTGAATGTTTCAGTAAATTCAAAAGCCTCAGGAGTTTGAATCTGTCCTCCAACTTTCTTACTTGTCTCCCAACGTTTATCTGTGAGCTGGTAACGTTGGTTGATCTTGACATTTCATTCAACATGATCAAGAGTTTTCCATTGGAAATTGGACAGCTTTCAGCACTGGAACGACTTACAGCAACAAACAACCTCCTCTCCGGGCCACTTACACAGACGTTTTCGATGTTGGGTTCGTTAAAAGAATTGGATGTGCGATATAACAAGTTACATGATATCGACATCGTTGCAGATTTGCCCAGATTAGAACTGGTGATCGCCAACAATAACGCGGTTACCTGTTTTCAGTATTCTTTCCCTAAACTGCGTGCGTTGCATTTGAACACCAACCCTGTTACGAGATTCAATCTTGTATCAGCGATGCCAATGCTCAAGCTCTTGAACCTATCGGAGGCGAGACTTGCTGCACTTGCGGAAACCTTATTCGAGAAGTTGCCAAACTTGGAAAAACTTGTTCTCGATAGGAATCATATCGTCTCATTTCCCCCTCAAATTGGGCTGTTAAAGAAGCTAGAGTATATGAGTTGTTTTAATAACGCCCTCGCCTTGTTACCCAAAGAGATCGGGCAGCTTCAGGAATTAAAGTTCCTTGACCTACATGCTAATAATCTCAAGGTTCTTCCTGGAGAGATCTGGCAGTTGATGAATTTGAGGACCTTGAATGTGTCTTCTAATCTCTTAAAGGAATTGCCGAAGCCTATCACGAACCCTACTGCTGTCCCTACACCGTCGCCGCCAATGGATAATCTGTCGCCTGGGAAAGAGAAAACTAAGGAGGAGGATGGTGCGAAGAGTAGCGAAATTAGGAGACCGTCACAAACATCTGGAGGATTATTAAGTGTTGGGGGTTCACCAGGTGACGGTGGCAGAAAGGGTTCCGTGGCCTCTGTATACACAAATGCCACAAGGAAGGCATCTGTGATATCTAAGGCAGGGTCAGAAAACGGAACATCAAGCCAGCCAAGAAAGGATTCAGCAGCTTCAAGCCGTATCTATAACACATTTGCATTCTCGCTTCGTTATCTGTACCTTGCAGATAACAATCTATCGGACGAGGTTTTTGAACAATTATCACTGCTTTCAGAGCTAAGGGTGTTAAATCTCTCCTACAATCGGATCTACGATATCCCCACAAGAGCCTTGAAGGGGATGCCTTTGTTAAACGAGCTTTATCTTTCTGGAAACGAATTGACAAGTTTGCCTGCCGAAGATCTTGAGAGTGTTAACCTTCTGAACGTGCTTTATATCAATTCGAACAGATTCTACACCCTTCCGGCAGAACTGGGAAAAATAAGGAAATTGCTGGTCTTGGATGTGGGGAATAATGCATTGAAGTACAACATTTCAAACTGGCCATATGACTGGAATTGGTTAGTTTTTTTTTAATCCTACAGCGCATTAACTAGACGGTGAAATCATTCTCATTAACTCTGCTCTATAGGAACTGGAATATTGAATTGAAGTATCTTAGTATGTCTGGCAACAAGCGTTTAGAAATCAAACCAGGTCGAAATGACTCAAATTCTGAGCGTCATCATAATATTACGGATTTCACCCAGCTCTCGAAGCTTAGGGTTCTTGGCCTCATGGATGTTACGTTAACGATTCCTAATGTGCCGGACCAGACGGAAGATCGACGAATTCGTCTTTCAGGGTCAATGGTGCGATCGATGCCTTATGGCATGGCTGACTCCCTAGGTAGAAGTGAACATCTTTCAATGATTGACATGGTGATTCCTGGTTTTCGTGGAAATCGGAATGAATGCATTGTTGGGATGTTCGATGGACAGGCTTTGTCAACTGGAGGTAGTAAGGTCTCAAAGTTTCTCCACGAATCGCTGGAGTTTTTCTTGAAGGAGGAACTGGATAAACTACGGGCGGATGAGAGGCCAGGGAAGGCTTTGCATCGAGCGTTCTTGAACCTAAATAAGGAGCTCGCTACAGTTGCCATGCAAACTTTCGACGAGAAAAGCGTTTCTGGGATAAACTCGCATCGTGGTTCTATCGCACCCAGTGCTGCTGTGCTTGGTCAAGACGATCTTGCTTCTGGTGGGGTGGCAACTGTTGTCTACATCAAGGATAATGAGCTTTATCTTGCCAACGTGGGGGACGCGATGGCGATATTGGTGCAAACGAATGGTGATCATAAGCTTTTGACTAAAAAACACGATCCGGGAAACCCGCTAGAGGCCGAAAGGATCCGGGAAGCAGGGGGATACGTTTCTAGAAACGGGAAACTCAATGACTCTCTCGATGTATCCCGTGCATTTGGGTATTTTCACCTTATGCCCTGCGTCAACGCATCCCCTCACATTCATGAGACGACAATTTCCGATCAGGAGGAGTTTCTCATTATAGCTAGCAGAGAGGTATGGGAGTATTTAAGCTATCAAACTGCGGTGGATCTCGCTCGTTCCGAACGCGTAGATCTGATGAAGGCCGCCCATAAATTGAGGGATATCGCCATGGCCTACGGAGCTACTAATAAGATTATGGTCATGATACTCGGCTTGAAGAAGGCAAAGTCTAGGACGCGAACTCAATCGGTATCCGTAAGACCAGGTCAAGGTTATCCGAATGATGAGCACCCTCAAACTGCGGTTACCGCAAGGAGGAGGAAGGATGGCAGAGATTTTCCGGATGATTCGGTTTGCGTTCCTATTTACCTAGAGCTCTGTTGATATACTAATATTCATGTGATAGGGTCTCGCTCGTCTCGACGCTGAAGTTAGGCCTCCTGACGGAGATCTTGCTATGGTATTCACCGACATCAAAAATTCCACATTACTCTGGGAAACATATCCAATTGCAATGCGCGCTGGTATCAAGATACATAACAACATTATGCGCCGTCAATTACGTATTGTTGGAGGATATGAGGTCAAGACTGAGGGTGATGCCTTCATGGTCTGCTTTCAAACTGCAACCTCGGCATTGCTTTGGTGTTTTAGTGTTCAATCAATGCTATTGGATGCAGATTGGCCGTCCGAAATTTTGGAATCTATCCATGGGAAAGAATTACTAGATGAAGAGGGAAACCAGATTTATCGCGGACTATCAGTCAGGATGGGAATTCATTGGGGTGGCCCTGTGTGCGAAACTGATCCAATTACACGGCGTATGGACTACTTCGGCCCAATAGTTAATCGAGCTTCCCGTATCAGCGCGGAGGCAGACGGAGGTCAAATTACAGTCAGTTCCGATTTTGTGGCCGAGATCAATAGATGCGTTGCCGCTTATGAAAACTCTGATAGTCAATCGCTATCACCTGATGACATTTTTGGGGATGAAGAGGCCGCCCGTGCAATCAGCCGGGAACTTCGAACACTCAGTAGCCAGGGCTTTGAGATTAAGGAACTTGGACCCCGAAAACTGAAGGGACTAGAGAATCCCGAGTTTATTCACCTAATGTACCCCCAATCCCTTCGCGGACGTTTGAAAAATAAGCGGGCTGCCCCCAAGCCCGAAACGCCGGTACTGCCGTTGGAATTGGAGCAAATATGGGCTTTATGGGAAATATCATTACGGTTAGAGACACTTTGCTCTACGCTCAGTAACAACAAAGTGCCTACCGGTTCAACCGATATACATAACAAGTTGAGGAGTATTGGTGAAAAGATTTCTGAGGATGCTGCGATCCAGTTCCTCGAACACATAATTACTCGCATTGAGGTAAGAGTTTCCCCTTTAAACCCGAGCTACCCGGTACTCATGAACTAACTCTCTGGGTGGTAGAATTCAATGACAACTTTGCACTTAAGAAAACTTCTCACGCCAGACCCTTCAGTTGGTTGGTTATCTTCGGGCCTACCCCTCACAGACCTCTTGACGCTTCTAGAGTCAAGATTATCGTCCAACCTCAACGAAGGGCCAAGTAACTCGTCTAGTCGTATCACAGAGGTTCCGTATGTTTCACCCCACTATGCGGACTCTGCGCCATCTTCGCCTCATTCCTAAAGAAAAGTAATCCCCGACGCCGCATGAGTACCGTTTACAGAAGTTCCTTTTCCTTGGCTTTTCCTTTCCTTTTCCTTTCCCTTTTCAGTTGGTTGTATTGGCGAATTCGGACTTCTGGTTTGTTATGAGTTTATCAATTCTTGTTTTATTTTGGAATTCTTTTTCTTTCGTCTTCCGGTGGTGGCTTAGGTTTATGACACGCGCACGCTCCAATCAAGTGGATTTGTGGTGAGCCAGATGGCGCTCCTGGGGCAGGAAGGGATGGGCTGAAGATTATTTTCCTCGTCCCTTTTTGTAGATACATGTCTATCATGGCCTTTGTCTCTTTTATTGAGCTCCTATCGTTTGGGTATGGGGCTTGCTCATTCAGTTCCGAGGCGGTGGATTTTGACTTTCTTTATGGAAAATGATCTTTTTTTTTTGCGATATTTTTCTTTCTTTCGTTTCCCTTGGATTCACATTTATCATTCTTATCAGCAAAGGGCGCAAAAGCTTGGGTGTTAAAGCATTATTTGATGGGTTTGGGTCTTTACGTGCCGTTTTATCAGTTGTTTTTTCAATTTCTTCACTGGATGGATTATCTTTTGATTCGCTCTTTACAGGGCAATTGTTCTTACCTTTTTTATCCTATCTATCCTTCCTTCTCAATTTTACCCCATTTATGTTGACACTCAATGCTTTGAGTATAATATCTCTCTTTTATTACTTTGCTTTGATCATGGATGGAACGAATACCTGGTAGTAACTTTGGGTGGCTGGAATTTCTTTTGTGTTTTGAGGTCTAATCTGCCATTGCAAAGGCGGAGCTGTAGCAAGACTATGTGTGGATGAACAATAAGATTCTCAGTTAATTTGCAGATATTACTCTTATGGCAACTACCTATGTTCAGAAGAATGTAAGTTAGATAGTTAAACCACCGTACTGTGTGATGCTTAGTGTCAACTCTCCCATATTGCAGCAGAGTCAATTGGGTGCCGCAGGGATAATCAAGTTTTTATTTTACACAAGTGATGTTATTTTAGGCTAGCATACATTATATCTTTTTTCTGGATGATGTGTATAACTGTACCTTTTAAAAAATTACTTCCCTTAATAAAAGAAAAATAAGCAAGAAAAGGTTCCTATAACTGCTCATGTACAGCCTCTGGAGCCACCGTATAAGCAGCACCTTCATCATCACTCTCCTCTCCATCCTCTTTTTCGGATTCAATGTCTAGAGAAATCCTGCTCCGTTTCCTTTTACCATCCCCATTATCTCCCCTTAACAGCATATGCTTGATTTTTAGCACATGGTTATCTTGTTCTAGCTTTCTATTCCTTCTATCCAACCTCTCAACTTTCTCCTGCAGCCTTGCAAGCTCATCGGCGTGTCTAGACTGGATCCGCTCGAGCTTATCCTCAAGCCGGATGATCTGTAGACTCTTCTCGTAACTTTCGCGCTCGAGGAAGTGGTGTACTGTTGTCTTTGGCTCGTGGTCAGCTTGCCGCGAGAATTCTAAGAACCTTCCTATCTCCGGGTCCTGTGATGACTGCTGAGGTCTTGAAGGACGGCGGAACTCGTTGGATGATTGAACCGATGGTGTGGCAGCTGGAGGATGTGAAGGTTGGGCCCCATCGATTTGTTGAGGAAGACGACGTTGCTGTTGCTCTGCTGTTGATTGGAGCGGTGAATTTATTGGAGATCTTGGATGAGGGTTATTAAAACCCTCCTGCTCCAGCGATGAACCAGATGGAGAAAACGGTGTGAATGGCCCCGCCCCCGCCCCTACACCTCCCATTGGAAGTATATTATGCGGGTGGTTCTGACTCGTTGCAGGCGGCGGCGCGCTTTCGGAATTGGCATTATTACCATTACTGCTGTTGCGGTTCGGGTTTCCTTCGAGGGTAGATCCGTCACTATCATCGATGTTGTATATCTGATGGCCTGCTTCAATCTCTTGGAGGATTTTTTTAACCAGCTGGACATCCCATGGGCATCGTGGGTCGTCGATTGTTTTGATAGCATTCACACGCTGGTTCCTGGCAAGGGCTACTGTTAACCTTCTACTATTCGGTACATCCACTTTCACTCTCAGAGTCCGGCTATTTTATTAGGAACTTTTTTTCTGGGGGTAGGTGAAATTTCCAACAATTAGGCAACTAACCATTGCTTCTTCAAACTCTCTTGCGGTCGCTTGGTAAACCCATTGCTCTCTGCCCATTTATTATACTCCTTATACACCGTATCCCACTCTCCAAATCCCGTCGGAAGCCGGTCATGGATGAACTTGATGTACGTGAAGATTTCATGATCGGTGAAGTTTTTAGAACCAGGCATACGACCCTTCTTCCTGGACTCTCGCGGTGTCGCTGCAGAACTGGACTCGGCTTGGGTAGAAGACATATTTTTTCCCCTTCTACTACTCGGTCTTGCTGGAAAGCAGCGATGAGACCAAAACTAGCGGGGGAATCGTGGAGTAGGAAGTGGCGTGCGATGGGGCCTCTTTCTTCTCTTTTTTTATTTTATTTTTTTTGGTCCCTCTCTTTCTGTCAGGGTGGTTCAACTGTTAGATGAAGTTGTGGGGGAAATCGACTCTGCTTGCCTCTACGACCAAGGGAACCGATAGACAGACAGGCAGAGACAAATAGACAGCATGTCTCACCCAAATCATGGAGTGGTGACGTTACGCCTACGTTCGTCCAGATGTCTTCCAGGGGGTATGCCACTCTAATTTATGCATGTCCTGCAGGAAAAACAGGGATTTGAGTGGTTTGATCGTGAACATTGGCACTGGAAGGGAATTGTAAGTGCCCTAGGTACTGCAGGACAGAGATGCATTTAACTGGTTCGGTCTACCCAATTGAAACAGATGTCTTACCCGGGAACAACGATATTCTGTGCAAGATTTGTTTTAACTACACCCTAAAGAAAGATCGAAACACCAGTACAAGAAAAGAGAAACCCTGCCCTGTGAGTAGTTTATATCCCTGCAGCTTTGGATAAGGGACCGTGTCATAAACTGCTCTTTTGTTCATGAAAACCCCCGATTACAACCTGAAAACAAAAAAGAAAACATGCATACGCCGTCCGGTTCCAAACATCATTTATGACACCAGTCGACAAAAAAAGAGAGGAAGGAAACTAATCACATCGTCTCCCAGCCACCATTATTGATGTCGGCCTCCAATTTCCTCGAGATAATGGACGGTATTCCATGTTGAAGCCAAGTGGTCCGAAGCAAAGCATCGTAGCGACGTTGATTTAAGAATAATTGGCGGTTGCGCCTGACAATTATAAAAATTAATATAGAGCCCGAGATTTAGGTTATATTACTAAAGGAAAATTACCTAAGGCCGTAATCGGTTTCTCCATGCTTGTCGAGGTACGGTGCCGCTGCAAAGCTCCCGTGCCCATTATGCAGATATAATACACAACATTTTCGAATATTTATAAATAATCCTATATCTTTCCCACACCTTCACACAATCATCGTTAGCAAAGTTTCCAGTGGGGAGGGAAACATCCTCCAAATAATAACTACCTTGCAAGATGTTGATTGCAACCTCCTTTCCCGCCCTCAAGGCAGCAAAACGCTTGTGAGCAAAATATTTCCCCACAGAACAAACAAACGGTAGGATCTGTAAGGTCTTTTCCGGTCTTCAAACACCGCCTTTTCATGGCTTCTTCAACTAAGGTATCGAAATTCAACGGCAGGCCTACAAGTTCGAATATTGATGGATGAGGCAATGAGGATGGAATTTTGTATCGAACATCATAGTGCCTGCACCACCCAGCAATCATGAAACGCATAAATCCCCCATCCTTAGTATCACCAAGACAATACTGAAAGATTTCGTCAAGATCTGGTAAGCCCAGAGCTTTCGAGAGCCTACTTTGTTCAGTGTCAAAGATATCTTCGATATCATCGAGCCCGGTATTCGGAAAGAGGATTCCATATCGAGTATGCAGCAGGATGACGGTCTTACGAAGAAACGGTGTTGTGTATTTTGCAACTAGAGTACGAAATATTTCCCAGGGGAAAGTAGAAGAGGCGCAGTCTTTATCCCAGTCTTGATGATATTGTCCCAGGAGATTGACAAAGGATCTGAAAGTCTCAAGCTGTGTATCAGTATACGGGATGTAACCTTCAGCGGTCTCATATCTTTCCAATGCTGCTCGACCCCATTTTCGCGTAAACTGATCTGGGCCAGAGGTCTTTAGCGTGACGGTAGCTTTGACGATTTCTGCAATGTAGCATAGCCGTACAATATGCATCACCTCGAGATTCAAGGCAGGTATTAGGCACAGAGAGCATTCTGCCAAAAATACGAATAAATCAGTGCTCAATAAAGGCTCCATATCTAGGATAACCTTTTGCTTGGTTTTCTCGTCGCAGATCTGAGGATGCCCAACGAACAATTGTTGCATCTGCTCTTGCTGTATGTCGTTGAATTGTTGGAGAGTACTGTTTTTAGTATGGTGTTGCAGTCCACCCACAGTGATGTATGAAAATATTGTTTCCGAAAGAATTCTCAGATGTGTAAGAACTTGCTGCGAGATTTTATCTAACAGCGTTGATCCAGGTTCTGATCCAATCCCGCGTTGAGAAATCTCAACAGATGAAATCGTGTATCCCAAAATTCTTACCAGAGAGTCACAATGCGTCAATTCGGGTGGAGGATCGACTTCATCATCTTTAAGATCGATCGAGTTGTATTTGGAAGCGATACGGTTACTTTTAAGAGTATCCCTCAACCTTCGGTAGATTTTATGCAACTCATCAATCTCGGTATGTATAGGGGTGGGAAGTATTTGACTGGTATCAAGACGTTCCCCGAAGTTATAAGATGGTCCCGCTCGTCCTGGTCCAAAGGGTGTAGACTGATCTACAACCACTGGGCCAACGTGAACTATTTTAAGATGATCGAGCTTATTCGCTAGAGGCGTAATCATCGAAGTCGAACCGTAAACCCTGAACAGCTCTTGGCTTCTCACAATATCTCCCTTTGCCACGCTTTTTTCTAATCTGCTTACCATAGGCCCGATGCGCTGTCCCAGCCAAATATCGAAGTTTTCAGCGGGCTGCAAAACTCCTACCGCCGATTCCTCTTTTGATTTCCAAATAATTGGAAGGAATGCGTTCCCGAGAGCTTTGCAAAGAGGGCAAATAAACTCTTTCAGTTTCAATCTCTCTGGATGTTGCCTCGCAATTTGGTGAGGGTGTCGTCGTTTCGTCGAGTCGTAATAGTGTTCAAAACAGCTGAAATGCATGATGTGACTGCACCCAACCGCCACCGGACCTCTTTTGACTGATTCTGGAGGGAATCCTTGTCCCAAGCCTTGTCTTTTCGCTATAACCTCTGACCCATCTGCTGCCAGCTTCTTCACGGAGTCTCTGTTCATGCTCGCAACGCCAAACGGCCTGATATCATCCGCAGGACGATCCAAGCTGTCTGGTGTTTTCAAAATCTCGTACATGTAGTTTGAGTCGGCTAAAGGTGTCTGCCTCAATATGTTGGTATCCGTCACTAGTGCAAGTGTTCCGTAAAGGCGAGAATCGTTCATCTCTTCTTGACAGAGGATGCAGGTACCCGTAGGATATTTCCACCACTTCTTTTGTTCTTCCTCTGTGTCCATGTAATGATCATCTTCACTATCTGTAAAATCATCATCAACAAAGTCGAATCCTGAGGCGTTCAGAAAGTTCTGCTGCTGCTGCTTCATTTGTGCCATGATCTTTGCTTGTCTCTCTTTTGCTAATTGTTTCTTCCGCTCTGCCTCAGCATCTTTACTAGTCTGCTCGACTTCTGTGTCCATCTTCTCTCCCATCTCGTACGCCCATTCACCAGCTGCATCAAAAGCTGCCGGTTTCTTCCGTCGCATTCGCTGCAGCACGTTATTAATTTTCGGATGACACACTTTGAATGGTTCCATTTCTGCTAAACGATGGAGTATGGTAACAATCGTCCATTTTTCTTTCTTTGTTTGTTCGTCTAATGGATCAAATGCATCCTGAGCGGTTCTGTTCAAGGCATGGAGAATGAATGAATCATTGTCCTCGCTTCCTTCAATCGATATATCCTCGATGACAGCTAACTGACAGAGATGGAGGCAAACTTGCAAAAATGTTTCCACTCTGGTATCTTGGATACTTGGGGTCCACGACTTGAATCGCAGTGCGTAGGTTAATGAATAGCAGATTGCCTGGGCAAATACGGGCGTCCTTGTGAATGCAGAAATTTCTGTAAACATACCGGTTTTGACTTGCCTTAGTTTTGGCTCGAAAACGACCTCCGACTGTGGTTGACCAGTTTTCTTCGATATCCTCGCGCAGTAATTACTTTCTGTCTCCTCCCGCTGGTTTTTGGAGAATTGCATGATATAGGGGTCAACCTCATCTTGATAGCTTTCCTTGAGCTCGAATGTACCAGAGTCAGAAAGCCCTTCAGGCGCTCGGTAGATTGACATTTCCGACAGGACTTCCTGGAACATTTCATGATCTTGCAACCTCTCAGGGAGACGAACACAAAGCTCTGAAAACTGTATCGGTTTGAAGCAAAGAATATGAACAATCTCCCGTTTAAGTTTGAGTATGTGGATATCAGGCTCTTCCTGGAGGGGAATGAGGGGCAACCGATCACTCAATAGGACGATTAAGAGATGCAAAAAATCCTCAGCCATGTCTAAGATTTGCATCTCCTCGTGCCCAATAGGAGGTTTAAAATCGCCCTGTATCCACCGATGGAGGCCAAATCGTTCGACCATGTTTATTAACATCCGGGCAGGATCAATGGTAACCAGCGCGGTCTGCAGAAGAAATATGTCCCGATTATGTGTGAGGTCTCGCTGGGAAACGTTTCTGTATGCTTGCATTTGATGCCTAAGACTGAAACCGTTACGAACCCACATTCCTGCTTTCATCTGGGATAGCCATACGCAGACTCTCAGGGGGAAATCAAACATCGCAAGCACCAAATCTTCCAGCTCATATTCGCGTATTTGAGCCTTGAGGCTATCCCATTCAGGCATCAAAAAGGTTTTCAGGTCGGTTACAGGTGTGGCCTTTCCGGCCTCGATAAGCCATGAGAGGGTATAATGCAATGCATGATGGAAACTAATGGGCTGCTTTTCGACTTTGTAGTCAACTACACGATACTCGATTCCCCGACCATAAGCCTGCTGATCAAATTGGTATTTCCCAAGGGATATAAAGGTAGTGTCCGACTTGAGCTCAGCTTGATGGAATCGCAAGCGTTCCCAGCCCATGGAATACACTATCGCATATCTTGCAACAGTAGCAATGGTGCGTTGCAGACTATTGTCAAAGGGATCATCGCTCCATTTAAAGGCCTCTGCGAATTGTCGAGCTAGTTTGCAGATCTCTCTGGTGATTAACGATGCACTGATCCATGCCTCGACCTCGTATTCCACGTGTTCGCCCACAGCCCTAACATTTGGACAAATTCCTTGATGAAGTCGTACCAAATCTAGAAACTGTAGTGTATACCTTTCTTCCTTTCTTAGTCTTCCCTGAACATAACTGGAACCAAAGAGATATCGCATATCCTGGAAAAAATGGAACATCCGCCGATTTTGAAGCGAGCCAGCATCAAAAGCGAGTATTGCTTCCTTGTTGACATCGTGTGCGTGTCCCACTTGCCGTGTCGTTAAGAATGTATAAAGGATTGCCATCAGATTTGTGAGGAAGTTCCCCCTATCTACAACCTCTGTAGTAATGGAAGGAGTTGTTAATATTTGCAACGAAAGATTGATTATTGAGTGATCGGGCTCCCTGTCTGGAATGAGATAGAGCTGGCTCAAAATTGTGTAAAGACCTGCAAACCGAAGGCCCAGAATCCTTTTAAATTCAGGAATGGCCACCACTGTGCTGATATACAAGTCCCGTAAGTTTACCCTGGCTTTCTTCCATAATCGTAGGTCAAATAGTATTAACCAATCCAAGCGGACCCGCTGTCGTAAGTCCTCGCGTGGGAGCATGGGATGTCGAGGGATATATCCATCAGGCTTTTCTAGCCAGTACTGAGGTGCTGGCGGTCCTTGTCTTCGTGCATGATGGTCACCTGGAGTGTGCGGGATCTTTGGCATGCCAGTAAATAATGGTTCAATATTGTGTTCTGGGCTTCGAACCCCGCCAGTCGCCGCTTGTGCCAGTCGAGATGCTATCTCTCCAGGCGCTGTCATTGGGGGCCGTCTCCCAAATCCATGCCATGGCCGGTAGTCAAAACGACCAACCATATCCACATCATCATCAGAACGATCAGGTACTAGGGGCTCTCTTTCTCGTATTTCATCCTCTATCGCCTCTCTTATACGTTGCTCGTCTGAAATTTGTATGCCTTCCTCAAAGTCATCTCCAACCATATCTCCCGGTTCTCCGTCCCCCTCTTCGTCCCCATCCCCATCCGCCTCAGCATCCGCCTGCACATCCAGGTCCATATCGTCCGACTCAATATCCGCGGGAGCCATATCTTCTATTGGTAAGACTCTAGTGCCTAGCATATTGGCTAGTTCTTCCTCAAGGGCGTGATCGTCAATTCCTTTTTTCCCTATTTCCGTGTTTGATGCCCTCGATCCGACCCTCCAAACCTCAAGTAACTCCTCACAAATAGTCTTTCGAAGAATATTGTTGTCTTTGCCAGTGCTGCAGCCCGCAATATCACCAAGCCATTCAATGATAGTTCCACACATCTGTTCCCGATATGTGTCCCTGGCAGATCTAATGGTAACAGTAACTTTGATCTGTTCGATTATTGTCGATATCCTTAACAGTTCATCAATGTCATGAGAATAGGTAATTATGCTTCTTCCCATAAAGTCAGTTTCCTGCGCTCGTAACTTTCCAAACGCCTTTGTCTGTTTGCAGGCCCGCGCAACTTGGTCCTCGACCTCATCGATTGTATGTTTTTCGTCATTCCAAAGTATTAATGCATACTCTAGATCTTTACAATTTTCTTCGTCCTGAAAATATCGTGATGTTAACTGTGACATTCGCGCGTCCTTCTCAATTTCCTCTTTTGTTTTTGCCAGTCGTAATTGCTCGGGGGAGCATGATATGACATCACAAATGTAATCTATTGCCCTTGCAATAGTACATTGAATACTTTTTTCTAGGTCCTCCGGAATCTTCGTACTATCCTCGGCAACCCCACTTGAAGAATTATCATTAGGCCAGTGAATTGCGCACTTTACAGGCGTAGCCCAAGCCTCTTTATCCCCACAATCACAACATCCACTATTTCCTGGCGAAATGCTGACAAGCACGACGTGACCAGTGTGATCTGACGCTTCAAAGCATTTACCGCAAAGAACACATGTTTCATCGAGGGAGCAAGTCCTGCTTTCTTGTTAGCTGATATTCAGGTATACGGGCTTATGCTGCGTTAAGAAAACTCGGAAGCCCACAACTCATTACTCTATGAAAAGAGCCGGATTCTACATACTTGCATCGATACGTTGCTTCCCCACTCTTCAATATATGCCCGCAAGGCTTTCCTCGTGCGGCTGCACTATACTCGGCTCCCTCCACAGCTCCCTGAGCTGCCGACATGTTCCAAGCAGCCAGTGTTTGTTCGGTTGGAGGACCATTAGGGAAAAAGTATTTGAAATTTTCGTACTTGTTGTTGGCCAGTGTCGACGTGAGGTCCCGAAGTAAGTTAATTCTGGCTTCTTCGGTGTATCGATAATTGTTATCCTTGGGTGCATCCCGAAGCTTGCGCATCAAGGAAGCCTCGGACTCAGCTTGAGCGATCATGTGTAGAGGTCGCCTCATCACAAAAACCAATCCCTCGCGGGCTCTAAGTCGGTTACGAGAGGGTGACCGCGTAGTCCCTGGGGGGTATTGGGAATGTTGTTGGGAGCAGTTGTAAGGTGTGAGCGAAGATCCGGGATGTGGCGGAATGAGACCAGGTGTAGCTGTTTCAAGGAGAAGATACTTTTGTCTTTTTCAAAACTTTTCTATCAAGACCCTTGCGATGGCTGGCTGAATGATGAGCTTGTAGCTTTGGTAGGGGGGTGTTCTGGCGTATCGCAGAAATACCGGTGCTTTACTTGTAGGTAGTGGAGGTGGTGGGTGGCAACAGCGGTCACTGCATGTGATTTATGAATTTATCTGATTCATCGAATCAACCACTTAAAGTTCCAGTCTGGCTATATTTCAATCGAAGAAGCGCCGCAGACAGGAGTATCGATACCGATAGGTACACATATGTAAGTACATGTAGATATCGGTGTTATCGGTCTATTGCGGGGTATTGGTATCACAACCGTGCCTTAACCCACATCTTAAGAGGATGTCACCAAATTCTGATAACGTCTACATTATGACTTCCATATCTCTCACAGTCCTTTAAGTACAATACTCTAGACACGCACACACGTTTAGAAAAATTACCACATGTATATATATGAACCTAAATGCATTTTATACAAACCCCAAGCGCTACCATGTACCAGCGATCTTTAAATTCATGAGAGCACGTACGCCGCCGAAGTCGATTTATCGATATATCTAAGTGGACCATTCCACATCCCTCTATAATTCCACTAATTCATCCATCCGTTGATAGGGTAGACAAGGAGAATTAACTCTATCGGGACTAAAATTGCCTTCTGGTCGGCGCTCTCCCACAAATTTCAATCTAGTATCTCCGTAGTGTCAAACCGGGATCTATCTTACATGTATGTACTTCGGTATCAAGGGTAAGTGAGTAGAACGTGGCAGCGTGGCTAAAGCTGTAGTTTTCCTGTTTTGCTCGCGAATATGAATATGAACCACCACGTTCTACTCATTTACCCCTGATACCGAAGTACATGTATGTACCCGCGTCAGGGAGAAAGAACCAGAACATGCAAGTGAGAAAGCAGGGATTATTTGTATGGAGTGGCGCTGAGCTGCCATACAAACTAGGCATTTGCATGTTCTGGTTCTTTATCCTAGACGCGAGTATTTGGCCACAAATACTCCGACGGGTGACACAAGATTTGTTGCCTTATAAATATGTCACATGAAGACTGCAAGTTATCAGTCGTATGCACTCATGATATTTGTCCCATGGCCAAACCTGCGGGTACATATGTAGTAGGCACGCCCACCCCCGTAATAAAAGAGAGATTCAAATTTTAATCCAAACTGCGAGAAATATGGTGATGACGAGAAAGGTGGCATTTAATTCGTTAGGGCTCACCCAATCTGTGAACCACAATATGCGCATCAGAGCGTATTTGACAACTATCGATTTCGACAATTGGCTGTTCGGCTTTGACAGTTGCGAGTCGCAAAATTGAAATTATACTTCACGAACTCTCAAATTATTTACTAGATCTCGACCATTATCAGTGGTGACGAGATCGAGACATAAGGCCTTTTACCCATTGATAGAGTCCAGCTCAAGTTCCGGTACCATGTGCCGATGCCCTCATCAATCAAAATTGACGGTTCGGCAAACCGCTATTGCAGCTGGCGAACTGTCAATTGTCGGAATCGACAGTTGTCAAATACGCTCTATTGAAGTGTTATTATTATTCGAGTGATAACTTATGAACAAGCTACATATACATGTAGTTCCTAAGACTGCCGGCACTAGCACTGTAGAATCTCGCTAGAACGCGTTGTTCAAGCATGCACGACAGCCACTACTTATTGTAATATCTTCATCCTATAGGCCTAGCGATTAATCACACACATAGTATATATATCAAGCTACTATGGCATTACCAACTTCACATACACGAAGTACTAATACGAATACAATCAACTATGATGCCTAAATCTTCGTCAAAGGAATTTCACTGATCAATTCCTCGAGGTTTTCATGCAGCTTATCCAAGTCATCGACTTCCTTATCAATATTCAGCAACTCGGCTTTGACGTCAATGTCATTACCTCTATCCTCAAGTCTCTTCAAAATCACAATCCACGGTAGTCGAATATCATCTTGCATCCTCTGGTCTAAAATCTTAAACTTTCTACTTATCTCATCGTGTAGACTAAAAGCATCTTTGACAACTTCACGAGGGTGAACCCTCAATGGATGTGATATGCCGTATGCATCAAATTCGATTTTCATTTGGGGAATGATTCCTAGATTGGGGAAGTGTATCTGGAGGTGATTTGCCAGCACGGACAAATCTTCAGCTATGATTGTGAATTCGGCGTGAATTTCAGTTAGGGTGTTGCGAAAATCTTCAAGAATCATCCTGACTACAGAAAAAGCAATTTCTGGAGGTGGATCCATGGTTTTAAGATAGGGTTTCCGAATATATGGTGTGTCTGTACGGTTGGTAATACTCTACAGGCTCTCCTTATTTATATAATCAAAACCTGCAGTCTTTTCAAGAAGGTTCGTCGGTGTATCTTGAAACCCGTATATCATTTCCTACATGTTGGTGTTATTTTGTGGCGCTTCATGCATAGCATCTCACTCGGCTCTTCTTAGAGGAGGTCAGATATTTTTACCAGAAGGATATCCATATGCTGGCACTAATGAGGATTTTCTTTCAGCTCAGCCCGATCTTAAAGTTGCTGTTGATGATACCTGATCATGACTCCTCTTCCCCTGCGTTTCTCAAGCGAGGGACTCATGCAACATAAGCCATGTCACCTGTCACTAAGCCAAGACCCCCGATAGCTGAAAATCATAGTTGGCGAGATCTCATGGTGCGTGCATACATATGAACCTTCAATTTCCCTGGGTAAGATCGATCTCATCCTACAACGTTGTCGATTTTCAAAAGAAAAAAAACACTTATCGGTTCGCACTCATCCATCAACCACGCCCTTGGGAACTCTTTGCCATGCCTCTCACTCCTAAAGATGACCCCTCCCGCCCTGCCACCCCTTCAAATGCCGGAATAACACGTAACTCCGATGGGCAACAGATAATTCCCGCCTCAGTCAGACCTGATGGAACAACTCGGCGTGAAATCAAAGTACGTCCAGGATATCGTCCACCAGAAGATGTCGAGGTTTATACGAACCGCACTGTCGAAACATGGAAGAATCGCGGCAGCGGAGGGGTCCCAGGAGCTGCAGCTGCGAGCGATGACGACAAGAAAACCGATTCCGCAGGAAGCGATAAAAATGCGAAACGACGAGCTGCGAGAAAAAGAGCGAAGGAGCTAGAGCGGGAAACAAAGAATGAGGCCGGGGAAGAAACAAAGGCCCCAACGAAGGAAATCAAGGAAGATTTGGAAACCGGTGGAGCGAAGGTATCGAAAAAGAGTCCGCACGCCTCAACAAATACCACGAGTCGAGCGACATCGCCGAAGCCAAAGCCCGAACTGACGCAGGAGGAAAAGGAAAAGTTGGCAAAGGGTATCAGGAAGAAAATTCGACAAGCGAACGAATTGAAAGATAGGAAAGACAATGGGGAGAACTTACTACCCGAGCAGCTTGAGAAGGTTATCAAACTACATGAGTTGACAAGGCAACTTAATACTTTGGGATTAGAGTAGTACTACATTCATATGTACATGTAGTCTATATGGTTGTTTACTTGGAGCGTGTATTTGGGCCGTCGCGGTGTGGATATTAGGGCGCGATGCTTGCTAGTGATGGAAAACTGGGTTCTGTAGGATGGACAAAGCTCTTTCCCTTCTTTTTTTTTCTTGTTTCTGCAATAGAATCGTTGTCGATTTATGTTTATAGTGGAATCCTTCTCTTTTGCTGATGGGATGGTTAGCTTTGATTAGAATCACTTCATGGGATTCCCTAACATTGCTCACTGCTCTCACCATCGACATACATGTGGCCAAATATATTCCCATATCTGTTGCAGCTGCGACTACCATCTAGCCAACGAACTACATACCTCTCTTATACATGTAATTCTTCCCACTGGAGAAACACATGTCTGCTATGTAACGAATTCTGCCACCTTTACCTTTCAGTATACACCCATTTATCGCGGGGAAGCTATCACACCCGGTACTGCTATTCAGTCATATATCCATTTATCTCAGGGAGACCATCATATCCAGTGCTGCTATTCGGTCATTCTTGTTTGTCTACACTCTAAAATGTCAGATTTAAGGTTCCGCTTTCTGTCTCAATCTCTCAACTCTATCAGAGTTTGTCAGCTCATCATCATCTTCGTGGTACCAGTCCATGTCTCATCAACTGAGTATAACGAAATAACAGATGATGGCACTACGGTACAGGATACTTGGAAACACGCTGATGTTGATAAATGCGAGGGTTTCTGGCAAGAGGTGGGATCTTTAGGTGTAAGTGATCTCTGCTATAAATCAAATGATCAGGATTATCGAGGGCCTACCAAAACTTCTCTTGCACCAAATGATGGGAGTCTTAATGGGCCCCCGTACCCCATAATACACTATCAAGGTCCAGCATGCAAAAGACCCAAATATTGTGCTAGGTTAACTCGCACGTTACCAGACCCTAATGCAATCAAGTCGATTGACTTTCTCGAATTTCCCCCTTGGTACCATCGTGAACCGCCGCCACATCCGGGAATCACTGTTTTACCTGCAGAAATCCCAGAAGGACAAATAAGCACTTTCCTAGGTTCTCTCGGCCATGCTAGAAGCAAAGGCTTTGTTATTCCAGTCAATAAGGAAGGGGTACCGGGATGGGAGAAAAGGTCTCTGGAAAAAGAATCAGTAGTAGTATTAGTTCCTGAATCGACCGGTTCCGGTTTTGTAACTTCTACAAAGGTTTTGGGCACATTGGTACCTACTGCTGGAACTATTGGCGGACAAACGATCCATACTCCTATCCCACACAGAATAAAACCCTTTTACGGCCAAACACTCACCGCTAGTACCATTAGCAACAAGCCATCTTCGTCCCCTAATTCACCGTTCAAGGAATCAATAAAACTCGCTTCAATACAGGCATTTTCACAGATGGGGATCGTCCTCATAGCTCTCTTGATTATTACAGGGGTAGCAGTGGTTTTTATCTGCGTTAGTTCTATACTCAAGTTTCCTATACCCTTCTTAGGAAGATTGAAGTTTGGAAACATTAAGAAAGGCGCGAAAAAATTGAAGTCGCAGAAAACGGACACACGCGACATTAATTTTGAGGATCTTGTGGGAAATGCCACGCTGAACCCATATGCTAGAGCCCGCTATCTGCGTGGTACTGCAGAGGCAATTAACGATGATAGTTCATTGCAAGATGGGAGTCAAATATCAGGTGAAAGAACCGAGAAGGGAATATCGGAAGATAATACCCTAGCGGTAGCAACTGGAAGCCAGTCAAAGTTAACAGGTGTCAAGCTAAGGAGGACTCGGAGCTGCTAGGAACGGAAGCCGTGGTAAAAAGGGGTACCAGGAATATGGTGTTAAGAGGAGAGCTAGAGAGATATACCCAGGTTTTTTTACTACCAGCAGTGTACCTTCATTAAACCCTCTAATTGTGTCGGATATTTATTGGTCTTGAGAGCTTAAACCAACCACGTTAGTCTACGGGTTCTGTATAAGACTGGTGTCCCTCATAACTTTGCTTTTGTGTGCTTTGGAAGTTCTACTTATATGTAGACTCTAAAGAGTCATTATTAGTTCAGTTTAAGAATGAGACTTATATGGCAGGAAATGTGTGTTAGGTACTTCCCGCAAGTAAATTCCATTGCCATGGTAGTATTATGGGTTGTCAAAATTATCCGGACGTTCGCGTCGCAACCACACAGATTAGCTAGAATGACCGATTTTTGAAACCACTTCAATTGACTTCATATTGAAGCTTAAGATAATAGAGGTATAAGAAATCACAGAAATCAAATCTCTTGTACTCTTTCCTTGTGGTTGTGGAGAAAGGCGACGTTGAAATTGAAAATTTGGTTGTCAACCCGCAATATCTAGCTATGGATATCCCCCAATCATTCGCCTCTGTAATTGCCGTACTGCGCATAATATCTTGGATGGAATGCGTACATGCACCCACACGATGCACATACGGAGTTAGCGGAGAACCACCAGCCCCAAAGGAATAATATCTAGTCGCGTTACTGCTCTTTAGTTCGGGCGCGGCACAACGCTAGATCTACCCATTGCATCGGATAGTTAGTTCTCCCGCAGATTGGCGGGTGGCCAAAGCTTTAAGACGGAGATTCTGTTTATCTCCGGGTGGGTGCGTGACAACCCTGGTAAAGCATGGGTAGAACCCGGTATTTGGCAGAGAGGTCTGCTTTTAGTTACTATATAGTTTGTTTTTGCTTGACTTCGTGATTAGGCATTTACTAGGAAACGTACTTCTGCCGCTGGGACCGACGATAGTACCGTAGGCCTGAGGTACCACTCTAATGTGAACAATATATATATAGGTTCTCTCCATTAAAAGAGCTCTAGCGCTACAGCTGGTGATGGCTTCTAGGAGGCCATGTGTCTCTATTTCCATAGATGCATGTAGTACCGAAACTAAGATCACTGGCTAACTGTATGTACTATGTAGCTTGACTCGATTTAGTAGTGTATTTTAGAGAAAGTGTCTCAAGTAAAAACCCTAACTTCAAGCTAAAAGTCGATTTTTGCCGATGAGAATTCAAGATACAAGTTGACACACCTGCCCACCAAAGTGAGAAGTGAGTTGAGCCATAGTTGGCTAGCTAGCAGCACCATGTGCCACATTCCCCAATTCCTTGGTAGAAAACCAACCTACCAAAGTAACGGTGATAAGCCTATTCCCACTTAACTTTCAGTTCTCTTTATCAATTAGCCAGTACTGGAATCTTGTACCCTAATGATTGATTAGAAAATCACCAAGAGAACCAAATTATAAAAAAAGTATAAGTACTCCCAGTAACCAACTCGTAGAAGAGCTTATCATCACAATCAATCAAACATCTCCAAACACAACCCACTCACCTCTAAAACTTTCTCAACCCAATACAACCCTAAATACTTTCAATATGGCTGCCGTATTCCGGACCGTCGTCAAGACCTGGCACAAAGATGTCTACCCCTTCATCTCTCCTACCTCCGGTCTCTCCAATACCGCCGCTGGTAAAACTGTAATCGTCACTGGCAGTGGGCGTGGAATTGGAAAGGTACCTAATGCCTCCTCATTCTGTTTCTCTCCTTGTACAAAGTTCTACTAACCATAACTCTAGGCAGTCGCACAAGCCTTCGCACAAGCCGGCGCAAGCAAAATCATTCTAACCGGCCGCACCACTAGTGATGTTCTTGCCACCAAGGCGCTCATAGAAGAGGGCAACCCTGGAGTGAAGGTGTTTGCATACATTATTGATGTCTCGAAGGACACTGAGGTGGTGGAGCTGTTTGCAAACGTGAAGAGAGACGCTGGTGTACCTGATGTGCTGGTGAATAACGCTGGTGTTGCTGAAAGCGGATATGTTCCGTTTGCACAAAGTAATCCACTTGGGTGGTGGAGTGTCTGGGTAGGTTCTCTTAAGAGGGGTAGAAGGGTTGTGAGAATACTCCGCTGATCATGATAATGATGCAGGAAATTAACGTCAAGGGAACATATCTGTGCGCACGGGAGTTCATTAATGCTGTGAAAGCAGAGGGTCGCGGGGGGACTATAATAAACACTTCATCAATTGGAGCTGCGGTTGTCACGCCCACTATGAGCTCCTATCAGACTGGGAAACTGGCTTTGATCAAGTAGCTCTCCCTCTCTTGCTCAACCTTTATCTCATAAACTAAATCATTGTATAGATTCACGGAGTTTATTGAAGCCGAGAATGGCAAAGATGGGATTCGAGCTTTCTCATATCATCCAGGCGGTATTATTACCGACATGGTGAAGCAGCCGCCGGTGGAAATTCGGCACATGTTCCAGGATACTGGTAAGTTAATAATGGTTCCCTGTAGGAATAACTCGACAAGTCCTTGGCACTAATAAAGAAAGTAGTTGAACTCGCAGCTGGAACAGTGCTCTACCTCGCTTCCGAAAGATCTGAGTATTTGAGGGGACGCTTTATCATTGGGAATTGGGACATGGAGGAACTGGAGCAGAGGAAGGATGAGATTGTGGAAAAGAACTTATTCAAGAGCGGTATTAATTTTAATTAAGCTTGGCTTACCAAGAAGAGTTCGACTGATATGTTTATAAGTTTGTTGTTGAGAGAAGAGGGTGCCTTTATAGAGCGCGAAATTCCACTCATATTGATCATTGACATCCATGACCAAATGTACTGAAAGTGTGTATTCGTAATCCCTAGTTAACCGAAACAGTATCTCCAGAGTCCGCTAGAAGGTTTGATTCGTACCTTTCACTATATAACTTTATCAATATTTAATAATGTTGTAGCTCTTTTAAACCCCATTTTTTACGCAGTTTCCTCCTGCCCTCTGAAGGGTTTTTGTCCCCGGCCTGGCCCGCCCTTCAAGTTACATACATGTACATTTATAACTCGGGATTATAGTGGAGCAACTTACGCTTCAAGTCTTTCGCCTCCTTACTTCCTAATATTATTCCTAATATTTTCCTAACGCCCTGAATGAGGTGAATTGCCCTGAACGAAGCGAAG